ATTAAAACACTTTCATCAACAACATTAAATAGTAATATCTAAAAATAAAATTCCTTCACATACATAATCATGGCTAAAATTAAATAATTTTTAAAATAAAAAAATGACATCAAAATCATGCCTAAAATTTAAAAGCCTCCATCATCAACATTAAATAGTAATATCTAAAAATAAAATTCCTTAACATACATAATCATGGCTATAATTAAATTACCTTTATTAAACATTTTTAAAATAGTAACTTCTAAAAATAAATTGACAGCTAATCACCTAAAGACAATACATTTCTTTATAAATAATTTACAAGCAGTGTAAGGGAGGTAATTTGACAATATGTGTTTGAATAACCTCCCTTACACTGCTTTAATCTTATGTTTTGTACTTAAGTAATTGTCCATTAACCTTGAAACCCTTATTTTCCCCCTTTTTTGCCCCTAATTCCTAAACAGTTTGAGCCATAATCCCCCAAAGCAAATTCTTACCATCCCTTTGTGATATGGTAACTTGTGGTATAATTTCAGAGAGATCCATACACCATTTCACAAGTTATTGTCTGGAAACTAGAATAAACAGCTGCATTTTTGAGTTTTTGTCCGAAAACTGGAAAATCCCCCCTTTTTTTATGAATAAAACCCTGTAACTTGGAAACGTAAAATCTAAAATTTATAAAATTCGAAAGGGAGCTCATGTCAATAGATATAAACAATTCATCACAATTTCTTGCAATTTGCTGAAAGCATTCTCGACATATTGTCCGAAAACTGGAAAATCCCCCTTTTTTTTTATGAATAAAACCCCATAACTTAGAAACGTAAAATCTAAATTTTATAAAAAACGAAAGGGAGCTCACGTCAATAGATATAAACAATTCACCAAAGTTTTATGCAAATTGGTTAAAGCATTTTTGAGTTAATGTCCGACATGTTGACGACGGACAGACGGGCGGACGGACGGACAGACAGACGGACGGACAGACAGACAACGGTATACCATAATACGTCCCTTAAACGGGTGTATAAAAACACACACCTGTTTTATTTACTAAGTCCCGTAACTCAAAAAGTTTTAATCTTATTTTCACCAAAAAGTATACAGATCGTTTGATCATCATAAGAAACAACTATATTAAGTTTCATGAAATTTGGATAAGTCATTCTCAAGTTACGGTGCGACATGTTAACGCCGGACAGACAGACGGACAGACAGACAGACGGACGGATACCGGACATTTGTATACCATAATACGTCCCGTCAAAAATTGACGGGCGTATAAAAATGCTTATTTGGGCCCCATTTTGGCCCCTTATTCCTGAATTGTTAGGACCATAACCCCCAAAATCAATCCCAACCTTCCTTTTGTGGTCATAAACCTTATGGTAAAATTTCATAGAAATCCATACACTTAAACAAAAGCTATTGTCCGGAAACCAATGTGTCTTCGGACGATGACGATGACGATAACGTGATACCAATATACAACCACAAAATTTTTGCGGTCGTATAAAAACTGGCCACTAAAATGTAGCAAATAGTGCTGAAAGTGGCAATAAACATCAAGAAATCAATTAATCAATCATTCATTAGTAGTCTATATAAGCTGTCAACCACTTTTTGTATTTGTTGCAATTTGGAAAGAGTTCCATATGACACCACACCATATTAAATGAGCACAATAACATCTTAGTTTATTCCTTGGGATGCCATATGGAACTCTTTCCAACAACTTCTCTTCATATGACCAATGTTATCTTATTTCTAACTAACAATATTTTTGAAATTTTTAAAATTATATTAGCTATAGAAAAAGTGATAGGACAAAGAACGGAGGCTTGGAAAAAAGAGCATAGGTGAAACTACGGAAAATCACTGACATGTTTCCTGCAGCAGACCAGCCAACTATCCCGATTTATGGGGGATATCCGCATGAGAGGTGTTGACCTGAATTTTGAATTCTTTATTATATAAACTGAACTCCTCAAAAGAGGCATTCAAATGAGCTAAAAGGGTATTTAAGCACATATATCATCCTTCAAACAATACAGTAGTAGATTAATAAAATTGAGAATGGAAATAGGGAATATGTCAAAGAGACAACAACCCGACCAAAGAGCAGATAACAGCTGAAGGCCACCAAAGGCCACCACTAAGTACACTTATGACAATATAAGATAAGCATTTGGTCCTCTTGCTCTTAAAATCCCCCATGGAGAATTTGAAAAGTTGGCAGGTATGATGCAGACTGTTAATTTTTTAAGCATTCTGACTCAGCATTTGATCCTGTACATGTAAATTTATTACTATGTTATTTTCCTGAATATGTATGAATATATTTTCACTGTACATTAAGCAGCTATCTATCAATCAGTTTTATTCAGATTGCTACAGGTTTTTTTTTTCTTCTGAGATAAAAGTAACAAGATAAATTAAGAACAAGAAATGATTGTAACAGGATGCTGTTACGAAGTCTCCCAAACGAAGCTCCCATAATTCGTAATTCCCAGGGTCGCCTGACATTGGGCAATGTCCAGTGAAAATTGGTTTGGTCCAGTAAAGTTATATGCATTAGTGATGCCTGGGGACTAACCTTGTATATCATTCAAATCATCTTGGCATGACAAACCAGAATATATATGGTTTAAGGGTGGGGATCTCGACCATTTACAAGATACTAGAACATTGGGGGTGGGGAGGAACCCCTGGGGACTGGCCCTATACGTCATTCAAATGTTCATTACATGACGAACAGGAATATATATGGTTTAGGGGTGGGGATCTCAACCATTTACAAGATATTAGAACCTTGGGGGTAGGGGGAACCCCTGGGGACTGACCGTATACGTCATTCAAATGTTCGAGACATGACAAATAGGAATATATATGGTTTAGGGGTGGGGATCTCAACCATTTACAAGATATTAGAACTTTCTCAAATGGCAGGGGGTCGGGATGACCCCTGGGGACTAACCCTGTATATCATTCAAACCATCTTCGCATGACAAACAAGAATATATATGGTTTAGGGGTGGGGATCTTGACCACTTTGAAGATATTAGAACTTTCTTAAGTGGCAGGGGGTGGGGTTGACCCCTGGGGACTAACCCTGTATTTCATTTGAGTTGCTTTATCATGACAAACCAGAATATATATGGTTTAGGGGTGGGGATCTCGACCATTTACAAGATATTAGAAACTTTCTCAAATGGCAGGGGGTCGGGATGACCCCTGGGGACTAACCCCGTATATCATTCAAACCATCTTAGCATGACAAACCAGAATATATATGGTTTAGGGGTGGGGATCTTGACCACTTACAAGATATTAGAACTTTCTTAAATGGCAGGGGGTGGGGGTGACCCCTGGGGACTAACCCTGTATAACATTTGATGTGCTTTATCATGACAAACCAGAATATATATGGTTTAGGGGTGGGGATCTCGACCATTTACAAGATATTAGAACTTTCTTAAATGGCAGGGGGTCGGGATGACCCCTGGGGACTAACCCTGTATATCATTCAAACCATCTTAGCATGACAAACCAGAATATATATGGTTTAGGGGTGGGGATCTTGACCACTTACAAGATATTAGAACTTTCTTAAATGGCAGGGGGTGGGGGTGACCCCTGGGGTCTAACCCTGTATTTCATTTGATGTGCTTTATCATGACAAACCAGAATATATATGGTTTAGGGGTGGGGATCTCGACCATTTACAAGATATTAGAACTTTCTCAAATGGCAGGGGGTCGGGATGACCCCTGGGGACTAACCCTGTATATCATTCAAACCATCTTAGCATGACAAACCAGAATATATATGGTTTAGGGGTGGGGATCTTGACCACTTACAAGGTATTAGAACTTTCTTAAATGGCAGGGGGTGGGGGTGACCCCTGGGGATTAACCCTGTATTTCATTTAATGGGCTTTATCATTTAGAACATTTTCAATTAAAAAGATTGTGTCTATCACAAACGGTTTTCAATTTATAATCATTTGAAAATTTTAAAAAATAAAATCCCATAGGGTTCTATAGTAAAACCCTCTTTTCTTTTTGCCCCTCAAAGTACCCCTTTATAAACCCCATTGCACAAACAAAACCCTGATTGCACCACTAGACATGTTAGTCTAACATATTGTGAAACCCTAAGTTAATCTGACCAGCGGTTTTGGAGAACGGGTGCGGACAAGTTCAAATTTAAAAGCGGCGGAAGAAGAAGAAGAAGAAGAAGAAGAAGAAGAAGAAGAAGAAGAAGAAGAAGAAGAAGAAGAAGAAGAAGAAGAAGAAGAAGAAGAAGAAGAAGAAGAAGAATAATAATAATAATAAGAACTGAGCAAAAACAATAAGTCTTCCCAAACTTCGTTTGGGAGACTTAATAACAGACACTTTGACAAAATCATTATTCTAAGAAACTTTGAAATTTACAATATTCTCAAGGAATGTCATTGAAGTTACATACCTATAATGCTATATCCCTAAAATTAATTTTAGGCATCCTTTATCCCAAAACATAAAGATGTACCTGAGTCCCAGAAATAAAGATTACCAAAATCCAATTATTAAAAAGAACAAACTTGCCCTATTCTTAAACATATGGCTTTACAGTAATAATTTAGCAAAACTGTATTAGGAATGGTTTTTGAAGGGGTGTAAATTAAGGAATATCTGTTGCCTAAATTGTTGCCATAACTGGCATAAGTCAACAACTCCATATATGGAATAATCTACACTAAGTATTTGTATAAGTCAAGCAAAAAAATATGAAGTCAAATCTAGTTTTAGGACATAGTTCAAGGAACAAGCTTCTTTTCATTGCATTTATGGAAACACAATGAACTATAACTCTTTTTTTCCAACAGAAAGTCCATCAGAGTTATTTCCCCTAAAATACAGTTCAACAATGTAAGGGACACAACTCAAAAACAAATCCTTCATTGATACCACATGCAATTGAAAAAAAATAACTATAAAAATCTTAATGATGTTATTATAAATACCTACCCCAATGGAATTATTGACCATGTCTAAAGGTGGTGGTGATGACACTGGTAATGGTGGAGGCGCTTCCTGGAAAACATGAGGTTAAATATCCATTAAATTTTAATTAAAGATGTATTTGGAATCTTTGGATTTCAAAATTGTTGGTTCATTGTGTTTTAGATGTAGATTCATTAAAAGGAGAATTTGAAATGCAGTAAATGTGGTATGCATCATTATGTTAATTATACTGAGTTGAAAACCTATTTAATCTTTTTAATATTCTTGATAAATAAGAACTGAAATCATTGTATAATCATATGAAATTCAGTTACTAGTCAATAGTAGGTAGGTGTAAGATTTCCTAAACTTGTTTTTTTTCTGAAATAGATGACTGCAAAATACAAAGTTAAGCTAAATTTCATCAGTAATGATTGGTTAATTAATTGTATAACTTATAAACTTCTTACACAGTAAGTTTTTATCAAATGAAAAACAACATTTCTTTATTTAAGTGGACCAATGCTAAAATTCATTTTGGCCCTTAAATTATAAATTATGATGTGCTTACTTAGCATCATTGTAACAATCAGAAATCTAAAACAGTGACATAACTATAGTGCAAAACTATTTCCTAATTGATCTATTTATAGACTATATTAAGTAGAAACTTGTTGCAGATCCATGAAGTTGTAGCTTCATACAGACATGTTGCCATCATCCTAAAATGTAGCTGTTGAATACCAGATTTCACGATTTTAAATAATCTTAAAAATAAACTTGTTGCACATAGAATACATATATTATTTATGTCAACTGCAGAAATTTTCTGGCTGAAGTCAGAATGAAAGTCCTACTTGTATGTAATGGCAGTGAATGTAAAAGAAAACTTGTCTAAATGAGTATGGTAATGGGTCTTAATGAAATAATATACTCTCCATTTTTCTATTAAAACTGATTATGCTATGAAATATTTAAGATAATTATAAACCAAAGCCCTTTGGTCTCATTTTTAATGTTTTTCAATTAATTTTATAAGTCAAAGCTAGATAAAAGTAAAATAAACCTCAGCATGGAAAAGGCCATTCTGAACATCACTTTTAGTGATTTATACAGGTTCAACTATGGTGCATGTAAATCTATTGTGCACACCCTGTTATCTACTAAATCTCAGCAATACCACTATATATATAACTTAACCACTTCTACACATGTATATATATAATAATAAATTTCAAAATATATCTTTTCATGCTTTGGAAGCTAAAATTTTGGGTAAATGGTGATATAACATGCTAAAAAATCAAATTCTCTTCGTTTCTACACATGACTATTGATGATAAGTCTGATAACATGTACATGTAATATTCTTTATGCTGGTTGAACATTTAAATTCAAAGATATGGTTAAGAGCAAAGGCTTGTCAGCTCAGAGTCAGAGTAATGTGTACGGGTAGGGTAATATGTCTTTCTGTGAGACATTACGTAACCTTGTGAGCTGGCATTTTAAAAATTTGACTCAGCATGGCAGACGTGTTCACAGCAGGGTGTCTTCATATTACATTAATATGCTATCATCCTGATAATGCAGGTAATATCTGCCACTGGACAAAGCAGCCTATGACTCATTAATTAGCTAATATATGACTAATTACTAGTAAACTATCAATTTTGAAATGGCTAACAAAAAACCCTAAAAAAAGCATATGCTATCAAAGAAAAAAGGAATCATGGCAATGTTTTAATATTTACATATTTCTTTAAAATGTCTTAAAAGAATAGTACTTATCTATTTTTTTGAAAGGATTTTTTTTTATCTTAAGCTAAATTTTTGAAAAATTTTAATACATCTTTCAATATCTGAAAACAAAAACTTGTTTGCTGAATGGATTATTGAGCTTAATCTGAAAAAGACTAAAATGTTATACCCGCTACTATTGTAGGCCAGGTATAACAAGTGAAACTGCGAGCTACTGCTCACTGATGATACCCCCGCCCAAATACTTGACGGTAAACAGAAAGTTGTTGAGTGATGAATCTGAAATCGCATCACACAGTATAGCTGACTTATATAAACCCTGAAACCAAATTTCAGAAATCCTTATGATGTAGTTCCTGAGAAAGATGCGACGAAAAATATTCATGGGACGGATGGATGGACAGACAGAGGTAAAACAGTATACCCCACTTTTTTAAAGCGGGGGTATAAAAAAACCTTCATTTAATGGCTTCAACTGTCCAAATTATGTAAAGGAAGGATGCTAATAAATTAATAAGTTTGTAAGAATAAGTTGCATATCTCAAGCCAATAAACTAATATATTTTGGAACTTATTCCTAATATACGATTCCTTTTACAGTAAAGCTTTTTCAAGATAAGTGAATGATGAGTAAGCTGGTTTCTTTTCTTCATTATTACATTCCAGCACAAAATATACAAAACTCTGTTGATCATAAAATTATTAAATTCTTACATATGTTATTGTTACAGCCATAAAAATAATATATGAAACTAAAATTGTTATTTTTTTCTACTAACATGCAAAGATCCAAGTAGTTTAGGTCCCAGAGTATCTTCAAGACCAAAAGTATATTTACAACCATTAACCATACACTTGCAAGTAAATCGTTCTAGTTTACTTTTTATAGACAGAATTTTGGGTATATATCAAAATATTCCAATAACTTTTTAAACAATTTGGTCACAGTCAAACAGATATACCTCATAACAAGATTTTCCCATAAAATCATCTTACATAAAAAAAAAAGAGACTACATTAGGATCAATGCTAAATAATTACAACAAATAAGTTTTAGTAAAACAAACAAGTTTTAGTAACACAAACAGTACCATCAAAAGTTAATATTTTAGGACTACCAATTTTCATCCCAAAAATCAATAGAGGCAAAAAATTGTTACGTTTTCAGTCACATTACTGAACATCCATTTTTATTGTTAAAACATGCAATAAAAATGTTTCAAAAATCTGTGACTCTTTTCACAAAAAATCTTATGATTAAAATTGATCGTAAGTTAAACTGAAATGTGTATGAATTGTGAGTATTTTAACTATTAAGACTTTTTGTGAAAAGAGCCGCTGATCTTTTTCTAACTTCTAACTCTTTAAACTGTGTTTTTAATTTTACAACAAAACAATGCATACATTGTCTTTTAGTACATTATACTTTACAGAATGAAAAAAGTTTCTTCTTAAAAAGAAGTACTTACTTCAGATTCATTTTTAATATATATTTTGTTTATAATCAATGTTAACAAAAATAAGATGCTTGCTCAAATGAAAAAAGGAGGGAGAAAAAAATCCAACTGAATGACCCATTTTCAAGTTTGTAACCGAACACACAATATTTTCATTGATATTTTTTTTTAACAAGACTACATTTTGAACCTGAAATTTAAAAAGTAAAATTACTTCCATAATTCTAAGATTACATTGAGAAAAGAAATAAGGAAAGAATACTATTGGTAGTCCTAACAACAAAAGTTCATAAATGTGCATTCCTTCTACCAGTTAAGCAAGTTTAGGCAACATATTACCTTTGTCTTTAATTGCCGAATCCTGGGCGATACAGGTTTAGGTGGTATAGGGGGTGGAGATCGCATCAATGGCGACTCTTTACTTGGTGTTTTCACGGATTGCTACGGAAATATCATAGTTTCATCACATTAATATTCAATAGCATTATGAACAGCCACAAAACATTGCAAAATTCAATTTGCTGAACATAATTTTACAAACCATACCCAAATGTTACTACAACAGTTCAAGCAAACAAAGAAAAAAAAAACAACATGATGCTGTTAATACAAAAATAAAATTAAAAAGCCACCATACAAGACATACCGTCAAAAGCATAAAAACTAATTTTATTCAAAATAAAATTTAAATAAAAAATCTCCTTAATATCATATTTATTTTTGTGTAAAATGTGCCATGTTCTTAAAAAAATAAATACCTCATCAGAAGAAATCTCAGATTCAATAATTTTCTCTTCTACTTGTTCAAACACATTAGTAACATTGATTTCATTGATCTGGTTACTCTCCTCTCTAGGAGGTACAGGTGGTGCTGCTGCATCATCCATACCAAATTCTATGTCTCCTGAGATTGCCTCTTCATAAGAAGGCAATACTGGTGATGTATTTTCGTAATCAATAGGAGACTGTGCACGAGGAGATGCCTCAGCAGTAGGTTTTTGGCCTGTTTCTTTTGGCTCAGTTACTTCTGGGGAAGTATTGAGATAATCAGATATATAAGTTCTAGGATGAGGTTTTGGTGGTAAATGAGCTGGTTTTTCTGCATGCACCTGTGTAGATTTGATTTCAGCAATAATTTGTTCATTTTCATAATTTATATATTTGTTCTTTGGGGGAATATTTGTTCTAGGGGAGACAACTGGCTTCAATTTCACTTGTTTTTCATCCTCAGAACTTTCATAAAAGCTGTCTCTATTAGATTTATCTTCTTTTCCACTGGTTGAAGTCGATTCAGTTCTTTTAACGGAAGCATAAGTATATGAGTTCTCATCCCCAATGATTTGTCGTTGTACGTTTTCGGCGGGATACCCAGCATGCTTTGCAGGGAAAGGTGCATTTGGGAAACCATAACCAACATCATAATTTGCAGCATGGGTGAATGGTAAAGTTGCATTCTGTCAAGGAATAAAAGACATGCAATAATAAGCATAAATCTATAAAACCATGCAATCCCACAAGCTTTATCAATAGATAAATCTTTTTATTCAAACTATTCTCAGTAAAAACAATAAAGCTTAAACTGCCACCCTGCTAAAACTCAGCTAAGAGTATTCACTTAGAAAATAACTGAAAATTAAAGCAAGCTGACTTAAATGCCCTTCTGCGATAAAGAAAAATATTTTGAAGCAAAAATAATCCATATATCAAAACATCACTTTTTATACTTTTCATATCATTAGACCCAGCTTATAACATGCTAAGTATTATCTCTTGTGAACTATATGTTTCAACTTAAGATACTCCAAGCAAAATTATAAAACAACATAAACATTGATTTGTAATTAATACCTATCATGGATTTGTCAGTTTTCTCATTGTCTAATTAATGAATACTTTGTACACCACATAGATTATTTGATATAATTATTAGCTCTGAAGAAAAAACAATTTATCAATGTTATTAGCATAGACAATACTAATGTATCTTATAGTAAACCACACAGATATGAAAATTAGAAATAAAATTCAAGATTCTTTAATGAAATTAATGAACAGAATTCTCAAACTGTGACTAAAAGGTGCAAAAAATGTATAAATTCACAATAATTCCAAGTCAGAAAGAGACCTTTTCAATTTGTAATAAGTAAGGTTCAAATTTAAATCTTCCTGTGTATTGTGATGATGAAACAAATACGGCAACATACAGTGCATGGCCAAAAGTATTTGTCGTGTATGTCAATTTTTTTTTTTGCTATATATTTAATATAAAACATATTTTTTTCAAAAAATTATTTTGAAGGCATTTATTGTTGGATTTTTACAAACCAGGTGTTAAAAGAAACAAAATTGTTTAAAGTATATTTGTTAATTTGGTTATAGTTTTGTCGTCAATTGGAATTGGAAATTTTCATTATGGGGTTTTATTTTGCTTATTATGAGTTCAGGTCAATTGTGTGACAAATATAAATAAATATTTTTACCCTGCCACATTCTTGATGTGTGTGTCTCAAGTCAGGAGCATGTGATTCAGTGGTTTTCCTTGGTTCATATCTGTCATATTTGTCTTTCGTAATTATAATTGTTATAAATAAGGCCATTAATTTTCTCGTTTGATATTTTTTCCCATTTTTCTTGTCAAGGTTTTTATAGCTGACTATACTGTATGGGTTTTCCTCATTGCTGAAGGCTGTACAGTTGCCTATAATTGCTTACGACCAGGTCCTGGTCATTTGAAATCTGATTGATAGTGGTCTTATTGGCAATCATACCATATCTCTTTACTTTTATATTGAGAAGGCAAAACTATTGATATGAAGCACAAAATTGTCGTTCATGCAGAAATTTAACCCATGTCTAAAATGTTAAGCATTGAAATGATTTAAATAATAACCCAGGAAAATTTCTGTACTCTTACTCATGAATTATAAATTTCTATCAAAACTTGTTTTAATTCTGATTATGCCATACCTGATTCTGTCCAGGGAAACCACTGGGAAATGGCAAGGGCTTGGCCACACCTATTCTTACAGTTCCCTGAGGTGCACCTTTCAATGCCTGAACAGCTTCATCTAGCGTAGCATTTTCCAAGTTATTCTCGTTGACAAACATTAATCGGTCACCTGGAACCAATCGGCCATCTTGTTGAGCAACACCATGAGGTACCAGACTTTTGATTACTATCACAGTTTCACCAGGATTTACTGGATCCTACAAAAATTAGACGGAATGAAAAACTTGTGTCTTTAAATATTATCTTGGTTGTTAGTTTCTCTTTCCTATTTTTAATTCTATATTGGTTGTTAATTCCTTTATTTCATGAAATAAAACTTTTTATCTTTCTTTTCATCATGGTTGTTAATACCCGAAAAATTAACTACCATGGAGACAAAAATTCAACAAGGGGTCCTGGAGTCATCTGACACATTTTTTAAACTAGATTCCCCAATGATGATTGTGGCCAAGTTTGGTTAAATTGGGCCCAATAGTTTCAGAGAAGATTTTTGTAAAAGTTAACAGATAACGACGGACGACAGATGCCAAGTGATGAGAAAAGTTCACTTGGGCCAGGTGAGCTAAAAATTGTATATCTTGAATTCAGTGTTATTTGCAACAAATTGAACCTCATAAATACAAGCCCATTTTTGATAACCTATTTAAAATATATAAATTTCCCTTAAACTTAGAAATGGTTTCCATGTTGATTGATCAACAGCAACTTCAGGGACAGATTTGAAACATATTCTCTAAGGATGACTGAAGCAAGCCTGGTTTTTTGTTCATCCTGCCGTTTCTGAATAGGTGAGTTTTAAAAAGAATACTTAAAGCAGACAGTGATGGACTACAGATGGAAGATATACACTAAGTGATGGGAATATCTCACAATGGCCCTTCGGTGTAAGTTAGCTAAAAATACCAATTATTGAAACTAACATTGCTTAGGTAGAAATCAATGTGAAGTAAAGTTGCATGAAGAAAATACTTAAAAATCATTTAAATATATCTCCATAAAATTCAAACTGAATTTACAAACTTAAAAAAAAATAATGTAAGTCAAGATGTCCATTGTAATATTGATTGTTTTAATACCCATGAAACCCAGAAAACTGATACCCCATGACTAAAAGTACTATGACGGCATAGCATGGTGTTAAATCCCTAAAATATTAATCAAATAAACAAACAATATTGCATGTTTCCTAAGCTAACACTATCCATGAATTGATTGTAGTTTTAATTATTCCAACCACATATTCTGGTTTGCATGATTAACTTCTCTACAGAAAATATTCTTTACTTCTAAGAAAAGAATTATTTGCACTTGAAAACATACTGTTGCAGTAATTTTATACAATCAATTCAGATACTATTCTATACAGTCAGGTCATGAGTTGGTTCTAATGGACAAAAACAAGACTGTGGTATTCGACGGGGAATTCCAACAGAAAGCTTCCTGCATATTAAATAACTTAAATTTAATTTACATTACAGTGTAATAACATTGCATCATGTAAACAGAATGCCCCTCATTTAAAACTGTAATAAAATATCGATGTCATTCTCATTTCAATCACATTTCTACTCAAATTTTGATGAGCTTGCATAAAATCATTTGAATCAATGCATTTGTAAATGCAAGCAGTAATTGTTAATTCTTATAATGATTTTCATCTGAACAGAAATTTTCACAATGGTATTTAACGACAGTTTGACATGTATCGTCACCAAGAAAATTGCAGACAAATTCAATAAATATAAACCTACTGACACTTTATATACCACTGTAAAACTGAGCTGAAAGATGTAAATTTTTCCTGTAAGTCCATTTTGTTTTCTGAAGACATACTAAATTACCAAACTGTATGTCACAACTGCGATGAGTCCACTGTCAAGCACATCAAAATGACTTTTAATATGAATAACATCAGCTTACTATAAATAATTTGCACGGGTCATTTCTCTTTTTAATTATATCAACAGCCTCAGTGGTTTTTCACGAGGTTGAGAGGTCATGGGTTCCATGCCTGGACAGTTGAATAAGACTTTATAATCAACATTTGCTGCTTTGCTTCTAAGCACACATAATTCCGTGTTAATGGCAAAGACTGTTCAGCTGGGAGTCAGTAACATGTCATATTCTGAAAATTATTACCTTGTGAACTGGCACGTAAAAAATTGTGTTGCTTAAGTAAAAAGAAGTTACTAAAGTAGGGTATATTCTGATGCCTATATTATTTGCCAATGGAAATTATGCAGCCATCAATCATTCTTTTTTTAAATTCTACTATCCCCTCTTGTTTGCATTTATGTAATAGTAATGTTTGGTAAATCTGCCAGTTTGTAACTATGACAAATTTTCAAATCAAATCAACTAATGGGTGGAATTATGAGACTAATACAAGTGTGCAAATTAACCTGATATTGTTCTTGTACCTGATAATCCAATTTGCCAAAGGACATTAAGTAGCCATCAATCAATCTTTTTTTAGATTCTGCTATCCCCACTTGTTTGCATTTATGTAATAGTAATGTTCGGTAAATCTGCCAGTCTGTAACTATGACAAATTTTCAAATCAAATCAACAAATGAGTGGAATTATGATACTAATACAAGTGTGTAAATTAACCTGATATTTTTCCTGTACCTGATAATCCAAAATACTAAATCCTAAACCTTTATCTCCTTTCTTTAATTCTATCACAACTGGTTCACTACTCCACATGGCAAAGTTTGACAGTGGTTCTAAAGACCGAGATTTCATTTTGTTTAGAGAGTTTTGTACAGTACTATTATCTACAGCAGACGCAAGGGCCATTTCTGATTTGGCTTTGACAAGGCGTTCTGTTGCAAATCCCATTTCGTTGACACCAGGATTGAGTTCTGAACTAAAAAATTGTCCATCTTGTTGTGCATAGATTTCGTTGTTTGGTTGCTGAACACGTCGTGCACAAACAAGGCGCACATGTTGAGGAAGTTCCTTTAAAATACCAACCACTTCTTTGTGGTTAAGTCCAAGCAATCTTTTCCCGTTGACCTACAAAATAAATTTGATAACTTAAGTTATTTTTAGCTAACATCATGAAAACAAAATGTTGAATATGTCTACAAAACAGTAACCTAGTTACATTATAAATCTTAGAGAGCATCTAAAGATCAACATATAAAGTTTCCAATCACTAACAAGCACCTAAACCAAATGTCAAGCTCTTTAACTGCACTAAATCTAGACTAATGAAGATGTTAACAGACTACCAGAAATCTGCTATCAAATCTACCAGGTAATACCTTAATTGACAAGAAACTAGGATATGAACCTGTTGGTTTGTTTTACAAAAACTTTATACAGTCTATAAAGCAGTACCTAATTTCAAACAGAATGGTTAAGAAGTATCTTCATTCCAATCTATGACAAGATTTGCATTGTTATGAAAAAGCTTGCTTAAACCTTGTGGTGAGTAACTAAGTTACTAACTAATCTCTTTTCAGCTAAGTGTGGGCAAGCCTGTTAACTGATGGGAAGTTAAAAAAAAATACTAAAGCTTTCTAATGTGAGAGGGCATTTTGAAGAAAAATTACAAGCCCAGATAGCTTGGATGATAATTCATTTACACATGTATGGCCTGTGACAAACATATTATGGTGGAAGACATAAACCTTTCCTTCCTCTAACCTACAGTTTTTGGAATATATTATAATAGTTAATCAATCAGAAGAAAGTCACATTGACCTACTTCTCAATCGAAGCAGTCCATGATGTGTTCAGAAGAATGTCACATTGACCTATTTCTCTATGGCTGTTGATACACAAATTCATCTCAATAATGCAAGTTTAAATAACATTACATTATACTACCGCAATACACCACAACTTTAGAAGCATTATAGTCTGACAGCAATACATGTCTGGTAATCTATATGCTGGTCATGCCCAAAATATTACTGTAAATTCAGGAATTTTTGCAATGTTTTTATTATTGCAAAATTGCGTTTGAATAGGTTTTATAAAAATAACAAGAAATAAGTGATCTAGTGATCACAGATACCATAGCTGGCAGGAAAAATTGGTAACTGTCAAAACCAAATTTAAAAAGAAATGGTCAAGCAGTACTTTTAATTATCATCGGTAAATACAATAAATCTAAAGTTTTAATGTAAACAAGGGCCATAACTCTTGAACAGTAAATGTCAAAACCATCAAAATAGAATATGACCTGTTATTTACAGTTTATGACATTGTCTCTTAATCTCAAAAGACTAAGCAATGACGCTTAGATCTGAACCCCAGACTACCAAGATGACAGCCAACATTTTACTTGTAGCAATGATTGAGAACAAAATATTCACCAGATCTAAACATTCTATCTAATGATAGGTTATAAAAACAGCAGACAAAAAAGCATTGACAAGGAGATTTGTTATTTCCGATCTTTATTACGTAGAAGCCATTGAAACTAGTACCAACTGTACTTTCCTCATCTTTAATTGTAATTGAAGTCTTTTGCACGAACCATTCATCCAGTATCATACCCATCAATCAATTTAAATAAAACTTTTTTTTAACTTATTAGAGGCCTCTTTCTCCATCAAATAACAACCTAATGCTTGTTTTTACGTAGGCTTTAATCTATTCCAAGTAAGAGTTGTTTTTCTTAACCTTCACTCTGTCAGAATGGTTAAAAGTTTTCATCCATTTCCTGATGTTACATAACCTCGTCAGAGTCAATTAAAACCGGAGATTACTCTCTACGTAATGATGAATGTCCTGTCTAACCTCTAATCAATAGACAGTCGCTACCGCTAAGACAACAGATACAATAATGATTGTGACATGTCTTCTTTTGTCTTTTGATCTATAATTGAATTCTTGAATTCTATAATTAATCTTTTGACCTACAATTAAAAGCTAATTAAGTTGACAGACATAAAATGCGCTGATCATACCATGCTAATATAACCATTTATTCATTTAGTCTACCATTCATTGATTAGCTTACCAGTCTTTTTTTTTTTGCAGTTTTTTTTTCAGTTTTAACTTTAAAAAATGTGGATTGTGTCCACATGTGGACACAGATGATGCCCCCGCTTGCATATCATATAGTTATAAAGGGACATAACTGAAGAACAGTAAAAGTGACGCTACCCAAATTTGAACTTGATCTGAGTTTTGTGGTAATAAGCATTGTGTGTAAGTCTCATAACATTTGGTTGAGGCTAACTTAAGTAAGAGTACAGAAACGAAAAATTCAGCAATTTTTCTATTTGTAAACACGCATAACTCTAGATCGGTTGTGTATAAGTTTTATAACATTTGGTTGAGACAAACTAAAGTTAGAGAACGGAAACTAAAAATTCAGCAATTTTTATGTTTATAAAGGGACATAACTCAAGAATGGTAAAAGTGATCCCACCGAATTTCGTACTTAATCTGTATTATGTAGTAATAAGCATTGTGTATAAGTTTCATAACATTTGGTTGAGGCAAACTAAAGTTAGAGAACAGAAACAATATTTGTACTTGATCTTAGTTTTGTGTTAATTAGTATTGTGTTTAGGTTTCATAATGTTTGGTTAGGGCAAACTTAAGTTACAGAATGGAAACTAAAAATTTTGCAATTTTTCGATTTATAAAGGGGCATAACTCAATAATGGTTAAAGTGACACTGCCCAAAATCAACTTGATCTGTGTTTTATCAGTGGAAGGCAAAATTAAACATTGCATTGTATAAAGCATTGATTGTAGTTGATTAAACTATAATCATGGACAAAGGAAGATAACTCCAATTTTAAAATATACTTGAATAATGACTGATATTTTTGGAAAAAAAAATGAAAAATTTAGAAATTTTTCCATTTGTAAAGGGGCATAACTCTAGAACGGTAAAAGTGACGCCACCAAAATTCAAACTTGATCTGCATATTGTGGTAATAAGCATTGTGTATAAGTTTCATAACATTTGGATGAGGCAAACTTAAGTTAGAGAACGGAAATGAAAAATTTTGCAATTTTTCCATTTATAAAGGGGCATAACTCTAGAACGGTTAAAGTGACACCACCAAAATTCAAACTTGATCTGTGTTTTGTGGTAATAAACATTGTGTATAAGTTTGATAACATTTGGTTGAGGCAAACTAAAGTTAGAGAACAGAAACCAATTTTGGGAGGTACGGATGGACAGACAGACAAGGGTAAAACTTAATGCCCCCTCCGCTATGGCGGGGGCATAAAAAAAAATAGCCATCACAAAATCGAAGATTCCTTCAAAAGCAACCTTATGCCTAAGTCTTTCAAATTCTAATAACCAATGTAATAAATCATGCATATATTAATCAATTAAAGAAAGCTTTTCCAAGAGAATGGTTAAATACTTTATGACGGGAAAATTAAATTTTTTTTGTATAATAATGAAGAAAAATAATTAGAACATTTTGAATTATTGATTCAGACTGAAACTGTAGTACCTGTTGGGTTTAACAGATGGACAACAATGTCAATCCTTGAGTACATTTAGAGTATACCATGTAATATATTAAAAGTATGTTCATCATTATTTAAAAGATAATAAGTACAAAATGTTCCTTTGGAAATTATTGCACTTTATTCTACCTGGTAAATTACTATATAAAAGTTGAAGATCTGCCATATTTTAAATTGTCATTATTGCAATACCACTGAGGATAATGATCACATGTTTCTTCAATGTCATTTTTTTAGTTTCTGGAGTTAAGTTAAAAGAAAACTTTAAAAACTTAATAATATTTTAACATTAAACAAATTTAGTATGGGGTTATAAAATAAATGATGAGCAATACTATAAAATCAATTATTTTATTACAATAATAATGTTTTGAATATACTAAGCAAATTATATTCATGAACAGTACTAGTTTTTTTTAATGTAGCAAGCTCCTGCCTATCGTGAGAAAATTACATTGATGTGTATCTAAATAAATATCGTATATATTACAATATATATCTCTAAAATCATTTTCAATATTTTAATTTTTTATTTGTCATAAAAAAATTAAAAGCATTTAAGGACCATTCTTATATAAATTTTCCTTTTAATTTATATTTTACCAAATTGTGCAGAATTTACCTTTGTTTCAAATAATAAATACTTTGCATGAAAAAAGTCCAGAACTACAGTGAAAATTTCACACAACATTTCATTGGATTCAAGAAAATAACTTACGTTATATGTTTATGACTCAGAATTGTTTTTAATTCAGACATACCTGTGAATAGCTCAAACCAATTTTTCAGAGCTGGTATGAAAATTTTGAACCAGGAGATATTTCAAAAAGATACTTATAGCAAAAAATTGTAATGAAAAAAATAGAATAACTTTCCGGAAACAATAACAACCATTAAAGCTAGATGATATATAGAATTGATTAATAAATGAGTCTTTCCATGTATATATTTTTTACTTCATTGTTGATAATGTTATATTTTAGATGTACGATTATAATGATGCTTACCAAAAGACAACAGGGACCCTTCCCTGGAAGACTGAACTAGTAAAGTAAATTGTTAACAGTGGTAAAGCAATATTTTGTTGAATAATAATTAAAAAAAGTCAGAGATATGTGTGTGCATGTGTAAAAATCCGTAAAGGGTTCCACAGAACCCTGTGTCTTGCCTGTGATTGCTGCGGTCAGTGTAAAAGTATAAATGTTGACTTAAAAAGTGAGTTTATCTTTTTCTTTAGATGCTAATTCTTGGTCTTGAAGATTAGCTTCTGTCCAAGTTTCATAACAATCCATGAAGGTTTACAAATTTATCATGTCAAAAAAATTTAATCCCAGGCTGTCTGTAAATGTTAACTGTAAAAAACAAAGTCCATCTAACAGAAAAATATTAAAAATGAAAAAAAATATATTTTCAAAGGCTTGCTTCAGACATTATCTCTTAAACATTAAAAAGCTCCTGCCGAAGTTTCATAAAACTCTATGAAGGTTTGACAAAGTAATTGATGTTTAACAAACTTTAACCTCAGACTGTATAAAGTCCATTTATCAGTATAATACTGAAAAGTGAAAATAAATATTTTCAAAATGTTGCTCTGGATACTGTATTTTGATCATAAACAAGCATCTGTCCAAATTTCATGAAATTCCATGTAGGTTTGACAAAGTAATTGATGTCTAAAAAAATTAAACCACAGACTGAACCTAAATGTTGACGCTGCCGACGGAATCTAGGATCGCTGTGTCTCCAGTCTCGCTTTCACGAAATTTAGGCTCAACAATAAATCACAAACTGTATCCATTGCTGATGGTGACCGCAGGAAACAGCATGCCAGCTTAGTATAAGCCACTTCCTTTGAAGGTGAGACATAAATTAAATAAATCGAGAATGTGTCCCCATGGACACAGATGATGCCCCCGCTTGCATACAACATTATAAAGGGACATAACTCAAGAACAATAAAAGTGACGCTACCAAAATTTGTACTTGATCTTAGTTTTGTGGTAATAAGTATTGTGTATAGGTTTCATGTTTGGTTGGGGCAACCTTAAGTTACAGAACGGAAACTAAAAAATTTTGCAATTTTCGATTTATAAAGGGGCATAACTCAATAACGGTTAAAGTGACACTACCCAAATTCAACATGATCTGTGTTTTATCAGTGGAAGTCAAAATTAAACATTGCATTGTATAAAGCATTGATTGTATTTGATTCAACTATAATCATGGACAAAGGAAGATAACTCCAATTTTAAAAATTACTTGAACAATGACATCATTGATATTTTTAGAAAAAAAAATGAAAAATTTAGCAATGCTAAATTTTTCCATTTGTAAAGGGGTATAACTCTAGAACATTAAAAGTGACGCCACCAAAATGGCATAAAAATGAATGTGGCAACATCCACATTATGTGTTTAACCTATCCTGGGTTTACAAAATAATTTTTTCTGCTGAAAGTCAAGTACAATATAAGTTTCGATGATGAAGCTGTTGTCATACATTAGTCACCACAAATTTGGCTATATAATAATAGAAAAAGTACAGTAACCAAATAAGGGAAAAAGGGATTAAAGTCTGTGTACATGAGGCAACAGTGATATACTGTGAGATAACCATACATCAAATATGCTGTTCTTCATCTTGACCTCAAGAACTAACAATTTAAGCAATACTGAGATGGCCTCTAGTTTTAACTTAGAAGTACTATTAAATGTTCAATGATAATAGCTTAAATAGAATATACATACTTCTAACAATTCATCTCCACTTTTAAGTCGACCATTTATTCCCACTGGACCATCATGTAAGATGGACCTTATATAGTGATGAGGTCTGACTTCTACACCATTCTCAACATCAACAGTCCCTTCTAAACTTATACCTAATCCTCCTCCTTCACGAAATTTGGATAGTTGCGAAACCTGGAAATAGAATCATAAATTTCTTAATTGTATGGTATGTAAAATAACATGTGTATCATCTCTTTAAATAGTTTAATGAAAGCAAACATTGTAACGTCTCCAACTAAACCACATTAGTTTTTTTCACTCTGCAATCATATAGGTCTTCATTACAAGCTGTATATAATACTAAACTTCAATATTTTTATGAGTTAAAATAGAATTTTTATCAAAAGTTTTCTATGAAGCTATGAGAGTCGATCATATGAGATTCCTTTGAAGATATTCTCCCTAAAAGTAGCTACTATATAGATTTTTTGGAATATACATTTAGGTTTAGTAATTTGTTTTTTCTTGTTTTTCCAATAACTTTATTGTGATAACTTTTTAACTTTTGACCCCTTGTCTTTGCAACTACTGGGATATCATATACTGGAGGATAAGTCTCATTCTAAAAGGTTTTAATCATATCAAGCTTAGCAGTCGTATTACAGCTATAATGCATCATTTTTTTCTTTTGGTTTTAAGCTTCTAAATGCCCCTTTCAAAACTATTTTTAGCCAATAATTCCTAGCATTTATATCCAAAACCCTTTAATTTGTCATTTTGAACAAAGCTTCTAAGTTATTAACTGACAGATAAAAGTTTCAGCCAATGGTCATTACCTTAATTCCTAATACAAATTTATAGATAGAATTTTCTACAGTATTCATAACACAAGGATAAAAAAAAAAGTACTAGAATTTCCATAAACTCCATGAAGAAACAAAAATGACTGAATTTTTAACATACTATTAAGCCTACTTCAGGAGTTTTCAACAGGTATTAGTCATATATTGATTAGAATTGTCTGTTAAGCTGGACTATCAAGTCTGATTCTTATACATTGAGTGAACCAACACCTTCTAACGGTACAAGCTGGTAGAGTAATCAGGATGGATACTGAAATATGCTGCGGTTGTCATTAAATTCTGGTCTACATGTTTCGCCACTTATGGTGGCGTCTTCAGGACAATCTAATGATAGGAAACAAATGCTAAAGTAGATAAAATGAGGTTCATATGGAGTTACAAAAATGTTTACAAGACGTTACATCACAATTATTGGTTTGACTATGTCAAAATGAAAGTAAAAGTTAATAGTCTCTTTTTCAAAATAGACACCTCACTGGACATTCCGTACCATTTCAACTGGCTTCACTCTTAATGAGGTACTACTTCCAATTGCGTCAGGAATATTGTGGGATGTATGGTAGTCGCACATGTAGGGTATTGTGGAAATTGGGGTAAATCAGTATGATATTTGCAGTTATGGTACACTATCCATGTTTCAAGTTCATTTTGAAAATAAAGTCATGTGGTTCTGCTGTAATCTTCTTAGGACCTTATGTGTGGTAGTTAACTGTTTTCTTTCTAGAATTGATCAGCAATCTCAGAAAATTAAGTTAAACACACAAGATCAGTCATCATGGCCACATGCACATCAAACGATGCAATATACAAAGTTTTCAAGAGCATAAAATCAAACAATTAGACCATTTGCAATGGTAAATGTGGCTTACATGTCAAAATTTCAATATGTAAAGGGACTTATCACTGGGGCTTGGAGGAAATTTAAATTTCCGTCAAATTTCTAGAGTTCAATCAGTCTACTTTGAAATTTCTTTACAATAGTATTGACTTTAGAATATTACGACATTTTATTGTTCCACTAAGGTATAACCGCCCACTCTAAGCCATAGCTTTTCATAATATTTTAGCTTTGATACCAGTAATTTTCAAAGAATCATTTACTATAAACTAATGTATTTATCAAATCCCAGCATTAAAATATTAAAAATCAATAAGTATATAATTCACATAGGGAAACAATTATCAAACGTCTCTATTCTTCCATGGAATATTATTGTTATGTTTCCTTATCAGACAAATCTATTTAACTGAATATATCCTGATTTACTATAAATCCTTATTTGTCAGAAATTTTGTCCTCTTAAAATCAGTTTATGTTCATGTCTCGTTGAATGTGAAAATAATAATCTTTTATTAATCTTCAATCTGTGATTTACTTATTCTTCTAAACACATTTCTTAAAATCAAGGTTAATTCTTTGCATGGAAACAAAGCAATATATTTTTTTTTATTTTGCTTAGTGGAAGTCTCTACATTAACAGAAAATATCATAGCTTTACATGTGTAATTATTGCTGAGAAAGAGAGAATTCAAACCTTAGAGCAGTCAGAAATCTTCAATACGTGTGCCACCTTTGAACCAGGTTATACCATAAAAACTTCAACAAGATTGAAGAAATAGTTAACGGAAAGAAGGAAATTATGCTTTTCATGATTTCAATAAATACCACTTTACTGCAAATTTTCTAAATCAACTGGAATTTTATCTGCTTTTACATTTTGCAGCTTTTTTAAAAAAATAATTATGCTTTATTACACCCATACTCATTCAAATGTTAACTTATTTCTTGCATTTCTGTTTTAATTTCATGAATAGTTGTTTTAAAAAAATATCAGAAGTTGAAACCTAACCTGCTCATATGAACCTGAGCAAAATCTAATGTCACCTAAAGTAAGCTGTTTAATCTGAGATTAATCAATTTTAACATATGTAAGTAACACAGTTTAAATAGATGTAGATAAAATTCAAATTGAAGAAAATTAGACACCTGAATAAGTTTTAGTGTAAATGCTTTAGAAAAATAGGTGCACTTGAAGTGTTTTCATATATTAAAATGAGTTTTACGTACTCAATGCCTGAAACAGTAGATAGGTAAAAAAGATATTCCGTAACTATTGGAACTAAATGCTAATTTCAGTCTTATAGAATCTCGCCTAAATCCAATAAACCACTACAGTCTGGTGACATAAGATTGTCAAGCACCATATGATCAATCTATATATGTCTAATTCAATATATTCCAGTAACTTATACAATGGAGGTCCTGTTATTAAATCATATGCCAGGTTGATCACAAGGAACCTAAGGTTAAACTTTCCATATCAAACCATAAAATCATGTTTGTTTCCTCAAAGTAAATATTTTCAATAGTACAGTTATCTTTTTAAAATAGATTCTTTTATAAATAATGAAATTCTTTAAAAGGTTATCGAAAACTCTTTTTTAAAATATCCTTTAAGTGCCTCTGACCATGGTGACAAACAAGTGAAGATATATAGTATATTGACCACTCCACAATGTGTCTTTTTTATTTAATTAACTGGAGAAAACAATTTTTCTTTACATAGTAGAGAACAGACTGCAAATTAATGAACCAAAGAATTATACTACCATTATACTATTCTGATGCCTGAGTCGCAACATCAAAATATCTGCCTATACAAATATGGTTTTAGATACAAATACACAGATTTCCACCTAGTAAAAAAAAAATGTTCTTCTTAAAACAGTGAAATAGAATAAACTGTTATCACAGAGATATGTCTCGCCTTTTTATAATTTTGATAATGCAAATGTTGAAATTAAAATAGCAATACTTTAACATGTAAGTTATGCAAATATTCAAAGTCGATGAACCATGACTGAAGGTACATGGCTAAACAATCTCCATGGTATGAGATGTGCCAATGCTAATACAACTGCATACCAAATACCATTGACTTATTATAAGTCGTTTTCTTTAAACAAACCTAAACACAAACATTAACTTGTAAACTATGTAAAAGTTTCAAAGTCAATTAACCATGATCAGGAGTGGGGCTATATAATCTCCATGGAAACGATACTTGCAAATGCCAATAAATTTGCATACCAAATATCATTGACTTATCATTAGCAGTTCATCTTAAACTGATCTAATCACAAACTAATGCATGTAAACTAAGCAAAAGTTTCAAAGTAGATAGACCATGACTGAGGTGGAAGGGCCAATTATTCTCCATGGAAATGAGATGTGCTAATGCTTATACAACTGAACACCAATTAACATTGGCCTACCACTAATGGTTCCCCTTGAACTGACCTAATCACAAACTAATACATGTAAACTTAGCAAAATTTTCAAAGTCTATAGACCATGACTAAGGGGGCGGAGCCAAATAATCTCCATGGAAATGAGATATGCCAATGCTTATACAACTGCATACCAAATATCATTGACCTAACACTAGTGGTTCCCCATAAATTGACCTAATCACAAACTAATACATGTAAACTATGAAAAGTTTCAAAGTCAATAGACCTTGACTGAGGGGGCGGGACCAAATAATCTCCATGGTAATGAGATGTGCCAATGCTAATACATCTGCATACCAAATATCATTGACCTACTACTAGTGGTTCACCATGAACTAGACCTAATCACAAACTAATACATTGTTGACGCTGCCGCCGCCGGAAACAGCATACCTATGTCTCGCTTTTTGACTCCGTCAAGGCGAGACAAAAATGGATCATTGTTTCTTAACAATACATATTTAAATGTTACTCTTATGCAAAGTCTATTTGTGACCTTGATCTTTCATATCTTATCATGAAAGCGGGTTATTAATCTAAAGAACACTGCATAACAATCTAAAACAAACTTTCTAATATGTTGCTCTCGATACAACTATGGATTTATTTTATTATGTTTGGTAAAGTCAGGAAAATTATATTATACAAACTACCTTGTCAAAGATATATGCACAGAAGTACAGAAGTACGTACTTCTTAATCTCATCAACACTCTTTTAGGTGGATGATTATTGATGAGTAGAGCAAGAAACAATAAAAATTCGTTACAGACTTGAGCTCATGCTGCGGCAGCATAAGTACAAAGAAAAATTTGAAGAAACTATTGAAAATTCTATACAAATGTCTTTAAAAAGTACTGTTTACATGGAGGTCAGCACATGGGTTAATTTCAATGTCATTCTTATGTCATCATAGCCATACCTGCAAACCTCTGAAACCTTCACAGAGGGAGAATTCCCCTCAGCTATGATAGCCGAGGGGGAGATTTTGAGCGAAGGACCTTTTTCAAGTTAAATATATGACCAAGGATTTGTATAGTAAGACTATAAATCCTTGATATGACCTGTTTACTTATTCATCTACAAAACACCAATAAGAGTAAATAAATATACTGTATTTCTTCAATTCATGGTTATAATCTATAAAAGTCTTCTTTTTTTTTTTTTTCCTTTTTCAATACCTCCGAGTCTCATAAGAACAACGATTTGTATAGTACTATACAAACCCTTGATAAAAATGCCATGGCGGTCGAGTAACATAAAACTTTCAGGTCAGGACGGGTACATTGAAATAACGTATAATAAAAAAAACAAATAATCCAATAATGTGTAGTCTTGTTGTTAAAGTAATATACAAGTAAATTCAATAATCTATGATTTATTAAAATTCCATTCCAGGAAATTATTTACATTATATACAGTTTACAAAATGCATAGTTCAAAGATTCATTGGTACATCACTTTCACACGGTATCACAAACGGATTTCATTACATTCCGTATAAAAATAAGCAATAGTGTCCAATACTGTGCACACAAAAAAAACCACGCAAAGTGTCCAATACTATGCGGACAAAACCATGCAACAGTATCCAATACTGTGCGGACAAAAACCACACAACAGTGTCCAATACTGAGCGGAGAAAAAAATCACGCATCAGTGTCCAATACTGAGTGCACAAAAACCAAGCGACAGTGTCCAATACTGTGCGGACAAAATATAAAGAAATAATAGTAATTCCGAATCTATCAGTGATCTGCCAAGATGTACCTAGAATAACAAAAATCTGAACCTTATATACACATTGCCACCAAAAATGCACCAAGAATTTGACCTATATTCTACTTGTTTATCTGACCTAAATTGCCACCAAATATGCACCAAAAATGCACCAACCTATTTATACATAATAAAATCCTACTTAAACTAACACATGCAAAAAGGCTATGACCTCTATGAAATCAGATACATTACACACTACTGATAAATATGATACAAAAATAAAATGTAAAAAGAATGAAATAAATGACTTTAACAGATAAGAGAAATATTGTCTTATTTACACTCTATCAAGAATAAGAATAAGTATCATAATTGCTGGGACTATTATACTTTCAATATTTGAATTTTGTGAGTCTCACACTAAGCATGCTTTCAAAAGTCGTACAGGCAATCAGAAGAAACCGAAAAGTTGATTGAACATGATATGCAAAATGAAGATTCATTGCCAAGTGTTGAAGTGAACTTGGTCCTAAAAATTGAAAATCTTTCATTCAAATTCTGCTTGACATTTCGATTTGCAGCTATCTATTTCTTATTTTTTACACTACCGCTTGGTCCAGACAAAGATCTCTATCGTTTTGGAGTTGACATAGCAGAAATGAATTTCGATTACCTATAAATCGAACATAAAAAGTATTGACCAAAGTTTTCAAATGATCGCCGATTGTTTATTTATTTCCATTGACAGTAATGAAAAAGCAGAGAATTACGAACGCAGGTCATTCTAGGTTTAGGTTGGTTCCCTCCGTAAAATATTCAGTATGCCTCAGAATATACAAATATATCAAGCATGTCAATAATGGCAGAATACCAGTCTATTCTAGGTTAAATATCCGAAACCGGGAGATTTTATACTCCCTTGAGCGGACCCGCAAGCATGAGATTTCCGGAATTTAGTCATTTGCGTTGGTTTAAGATTGGGGTAGTTAATCTTTGCTGTGTTCCTTATTCATGTTTTGTGGCCATGTACAATGCATTTAAAAGAACAGCGAAATGTTTACATAAGGTAAATTTCACAGTACACAGTCTACCACAAAAACAGTGAAAATTAGACGCACACAAAAAACTACTGATATACCGTATCTGATTAAAGGTATTTTATATATTAAGTAGATATTAATAAATCAATTTAATTGAAATTGACCAGACATTTACATTAATTTGGTCTTAAGAAGACATTATGCATGCTGTGCAGAGATTATAACTTACAACATATTTCATGGCAGACTAAAAACTTTTCTTGTTTAAAGACCTTGAAAGTTTGGATCTGTTTTCAATATCTAATCATATATCTCAAGGTTAAAAAAACATAAGTAAAACAAAAAGAACAAGAAAAAAGTTTTTTTTTTAGTGTTGATTGGATCAAAACGATTACATTTTATTTTTACAACTCATCTTGAATACTTACAACAACTTCAAAATCTTCTCCAATAATAGGTTCCCAACATTGTCTAATAGCAGCTTCCACATCTGGTAACAGTTCCCCAGCTGTAAAAATAGATATATATGGTATTATAACTTATATAAAGTATGATTGCCAAAGAGACATTATCTAACAGAGTCCAAATGACGTGGATTTAAGTAATTATAGGTCACCATACTGTCTTTAACAATGTCTTTTCCCACATCATAATCTATTACAATACTGTAAATCAACTTTTTTCATGAGCAATTAATTTTCCAGACTTTCGACTTTCGTGAGTAAAATAATGTGAAAATGTAAAACTTTGGTCTTTCCCTACATAAATACACCAGGAAATTTAGAAAATAAAAAAAAAATCGGTTGCAAGTGGAGAGGAAAAGCTTAACGCAAAATGAAGGGTCCATGAAACTTGGTTGGTTCTTTTTAAAAATTATTAGACATTTTATGGAATAATATATGAGCAATTATTCTAAAGGCTTCTAAGAAAATAAAAATTGACTATAGATTGAGAAAGACTTTTTATCTATGTCTGCATTGCATTGCAGAAAAATATATGTTTGCTTTAAGAGAGACACATGATCTTGATTCAAAATAGTTCTAGCTGCATCATAACTCAGTTCTTAATAATGGAGAAATAGTTCTTGAATTATACAGGCTTTGTCCCAAATGACCCCACGAACTCCAGTAACATTGAGTATTCCACCGTTGTTAATCAACAATTAATACTAGTCATGCTAGTAAGGCCAAGTGTCAATACTCTATGTAATTATAATTAAAGAACCTTAGTGAGCGCGCTCACATACCCCACGTCCCCACATTGTCATTGGAGAAATAAAATAAGTGTAAGAAAAAAAAATTGTATAAGAAAAATTTCCTGTCAATATGCAAATCTACATAGTATGTCCTTATTATCTACAAAGATTCATGAAATTCTGTTGTGTGGTTTCAGAGGAGTTGTGATGACAAACTGTTGCAAAAGTACATTGAAGCAAATAAGTTCAAAGGGGCGTAACACTAAGAAAAAAAAAAATGAATCATAATTTCCTGTTGATATGCACAACTACATAGTATGTCCTTATTATCTAAAAAGGTTTCATGAAATTCTGTTGTGTGGTTTCAGAGGAGTTGCGATGACAAACTGTTGCAGTAGTACATTAAAGCAAATAAGTTCAAAGGGGTGTAACTCCTGGAAAAAAAATTGAATCTTAATTTCCTGTCGATATGCACATCTACGTAGTATGTCCTTATCATCTGAAAAGGTTTCATGAAATTCTGTTGTGTGGTTTCAGAGGAGTTGTGATGACAAAAGCTTGCAGTAGTATATTGGGCAAATAAGTTCAAAGGGGCGTAACTCCTGGAAAAAAAATTGAATCGTAATTTCCTGTCGATATGCACATCTACGTGGTATGTCCTTATTATCTGAAAAGGTTTCATGAAATTCTGTTGTGTGGTTTGAGAGGAGTTGCGATGACAAAAGGTTGCAGTAGTACATTATTAAAGTAAATAAGTTCAAAGGGGCGTAACTCCTAGAAAAAAAATTGAATCGTAATTTCCTGTCGATATGCACAACTACATAGTATGTCCTTATTATCTAAAAAGGTTTCGTGAAATTCTGTTGTGTGGTTTGAGAGGAGTTGCGATGACAAGAAATAGGACTGGCGGACTGACAGACGGACAGACGGACGGGTCAAAAACATTATACCCTCCGCAACTCGTTGCATGGGGGTATAATAACAGATTGATCATATGGAATCTTCCATTGTTATCCCTGTCAATACACTTATACATAATAATCTGAAAATAAACAACTCATCTCAACACAATCAAAGACAACTCCACAAGACACAATGTCATCATATAATAGTAAATGATGGACAACACTCGGAAATGTAAAAGTTGTCCAAATATAAATAAGGACAAAATTCTAGGTGACCGTGATATGTGACTTGTGTAGCTGTTACGGTATAATTAAGCAATGTTGTTAGGTGAGATTTAAAATTTGAAACTGAATAAGATTAAAACTAGAATTTTCAAGATTGGTTTTGGTCATTTTTAAATTTTTTTAACAATTTTTACGATTTTAAAATTTTCAGCTATTATTTATGATAAATTTTATTTCACAGCAAGAGCAGTTCATGTGTTAACAAATTTTCTTGCAATTGGTCAGTTCCATCCAATACTATTAATTTAACTATGGAAATGAACTAGAATCAATGTTACTCAGGTAGTAGTATGCTTTTGTATAATTTTTACGTAACTTTTACCTGTTGACCTCTGAGGAATTTTGGTTTATTTGATCAAATTGACCACTTGCAAAAAAAAAATGGTTTACACATGTTTTGGTTATATCAAATTACCAATATTAGGATAAGGCACTTATTAGTACAGATGTTTGACCTGTCACAAGCCAAAATGTTAGTGGTTAGTAATTCAATGATTTAATTATCTCCTAGACAACTAAAAACTCCTATTAATTTACCATTGTCATGGAGGTATAAGAAATGCCAGACAAATAATTGTTGTCCCATGAAAAGTATTGTTGCAGACAAATTAAAATGTAGCTCAAACAAATACAAATTTATTTTGTATTAATTGTGAATGACAGGATTCTGTGTTGGACACTTTAAGACAGAATTATCTGTATCCTGGTCGAGACGATGTTCTGCTCAAATTCATTAATGTCAAAACATTCTGTTATGATCAATACGAATATATATTGCAGTGCAAGGACCTAAAGTGTCTCCAATATAAAATTTAAAATCAATACCAGAATTTATAAATTGTCAAACATGAAAGAAAAATATTCAAATTACATTATTATAACATTTATTTTCTAGTTTTCTAACTCAGGAAATAGGAAAGAAAAGTGTTATTATAATAAAACAGGAAACAAATGTTATTAAATATGATTTCTTTTATGATTAATTTTCCTTTCATTGGGATGAACAAAATAATTCATATAATACAGAAACAGTTACCTTTGCAGACCAACAAATCTATAGTTCATTTCTAATCAATATAAACCTTGCAAGTGCCCCTAGAGATTAAAAATTTTCAAATCATCTTTTTCCAAAGCCTTTTCCAAATGTAAGATTTTAGATTTTCCTGGCCATTTAATTAAGAATTGAATGCTTCTTTTTGTAATCTTGTTATAGCGTAAAAGTGTTGAGCTAAGCACATTTTGGTATGAAGAGTGAAACCGCTTCATACTCAAAATGTGCACACTATCAACACTTTTACAGCCCTATTATATTATAAAAAGAAGCATTCAATTCATATAATAACATTTATATGCTACAACCTTGAAATTATGAATTCTATCAAGATTTTCGTTTGTTTTCCTACGCATTGTTGTGACATTGTCATGGGAAGCATATGCCATCATAAATGTTGCATTTTATTGAGAAATATAATATAATTTTAGAATGCCTCGCGATTGTTGTCATCCAATCAAAAGTATGGGTTCTTATGAAACATACATGTAATGAAATTATGTAAAATTGTATTCACTTTCTTTTCTCTGTCAGTATTCAACAAGTCAGACTTAGTCGTTAACAGTATTCTACAAGTCACACTTTGTCATCAACAGTATGTATTCTACAAGGCAGACTTAAGTCATTAAAACAGTATTGAATTCTACAAGTCAGACTTACTATAATCCTCATCACAGAACATGACTGGTATATCTTCCACATCTACTTGTTGTTGTGGTTCATACACAGGTGGAGCTGTCTCTGGGGCTTGTACAGGACCTATTCCATTAGAGGGATATGGTATGTTAATATTAGGATGTGCTGAAAGTACACAAGGTGCATGGAATCACTGGATTTTTTTTTAGTGTTAAACTAGTGCACTTATTGTGAAAATAGTTATAAAAACTTTATCGGTAATTCAGTACATGTAAATGGTGCCTTATGTCGAACTGAATTGTCTGTTAGTTATGAAAGTAATGTTATTTTCGTCATATACACACTTGAAACAAAACTTGTGATAACTCAAAATATGTATTTCTTTTTTTCTAAAGTTACTCATTTATATGTCAACAACATTTGTTCTGTCAATTATTGTTGAAACAATCAAAATTGGTGAAATTCTAATATAATTTTAATAAACTAAATAATATTTTGCTAGTTGCAAACCACTTCAGGATGAAAAACAAGTTCAAAAAGATCAATGACTGTGTGATGCTTAGGTTGACAGAGTATACCTATAAATTCTCAGGTAAGCAAAGCAAACCTCAGCTGTCTGGCATCCAATTAATAAAACTCAGCAATAGGATATCTAATTTGGTCATTTTTTATTTACAGTAATTACACATTCAAATTTCATAACTTGGAAACTGCCTCAGTGGTCTCGTGCTTGTCTCCAGTGCCAGAGGTTGTGGGTGCAATCACCATCACGGTCAAACTGAAGACTTTAAAATTTGTATTTGCTGTTTCGCCGCTAAGCATGCAGTATTTAAGAGTAAAATCAAAGACTGGTCAAAGAAGTCAGAATAATATGTGCAGATAGGGTGACTAATGTCTGGACTGTTATCTTGGGAACTATCAAGTTAAAAATCGGGCTCAGCTTTCTAGTACAAAACATGGTTCCTATTCATATAGCATTAGCAATGTTCTTGTCCTGATTATGCATTCAATTTAATTATTTTTCAAAATAGCCATCCATCATCATCATAACTTGAAAAATATGCCTTCGTGTGTCATGGAAAATAATGTAGCCAAAAAATAAAAATAAGGGCTAGGGTTAGGCTTTTTTTTTTGGTCAACTGAAAATGATCATATATGTATATTATATATGTCTAGATAAGTCAGATTCTAGACAGAGTTCTACGCCAAGACATGTTTTGTTGACGGTGGACTTAACTTTTATGAGAATACTGATTCCAAATTCCGTAAAGTTCTTATTTTTAAAAAGCAGTCTAGACATCAATATCTGGTTAACCATACACAGACCTTAACATACAATAACTAACTACTGATGTAAGTTAACCATCTAGTTTTAACATATGGTCCCTATTTGATATTTATTGTTTTATTGCTTTTATGTCCAAAGACGATTTTTTTTTTTTTTTTCGTGATGGCCTTTAAATTATACTTACCTAAGTACTGTTGTAATTTTTCAAATTTTGGTCCACGTTGATATCTTGCTAGTTTTAGAAGGACCATTTGTCCAGTATTTCGTAATACTTCCACAGCTTGATGGTTAGTGAAGCCTTGTAAGGATTGATTATCCACCTATAAATAAACAGAACTGTACTGTCTGATGATGATGTAAGGATTGCATATGTTGTATATCAGTATTATCCTTCATGACAAGACAAAATAATTGGTGAAGACTTGTAACTGTTTCCTGGTAGCCTCAGAGATAATTTATTATTTTGAGCCTACTGCTTTTCTTGGATGCCATTTGCAGGGATTCTTTAAAGATGTTGGATTGGTTTGGGGTTTTTTTTAGCATTTTTTGGACTTGCAAGTTATAATTTGCTTTAATGTAAAAGAATTGAAAAAAAAAACCCGTTTCAATTCATAAACTATTAAAGTGTGGTCAAATCAGCCTTTCAATAGTTAATACAATATATAAATACATATAATATTACTGTAAAAATCATCTGAAATCTTTTTCATCAAAAACATTTTCCAGTAATACTACTGTATATATCACAAAAGATTATATAACATAGATTAATTAACCCTGCTATGCCTGTTTCATGAGATGCTAGTTTGATTTTTAATTGACAATTAAAGAATTGTGACTGTTCTTTGAGCAGTTGTAAGGTGTTTGCTGCTGCAAGTTATTGTTTTGAATGCTTAAACTGCAGATGATGCCAGACGATGATAATTTACTTAAATCTGATTGGCCAATTAATAACCCGGGAAATATGAATACTAGTTCTTGATTGGTTGACATGAAATGCCAGACATATCAACGGTACCTATGCTGCATCCTAATTGGTCAATTTGAACGTTATGATATAGAGGTGCAGGAGATATAAACAATGTACATAGCTACCAAATACGATGTTATTGCAATGCAATCACTGCCCTGCAATTTCAACCATGATTAATAATATATTTAAATAAAATATCCACGTAACTGTGCTTAATATACTTTTGAAACAGTAGTATGTCACAAAATGCTGGAGATCAATAAACCATTTATAGTAATAAAAAGTGAATTTATAATGATAAATTCTTTTAACTTAATGATAAATATTTTTTAAAGAGATGGTCGGCATAATAATAATATTAGCAACTTATGCCTAGCGATGATTATTCCTAAAATAGTGGATGAGATTCAAGACATAGCACACCATCTGAAATTATGGTATAGGATGAGATTTTATTGCCCTTTTCAGCTTGTCAAAAGTTAAGGACTGGTAGTTGGAAAAGTCCATTACATGAATATTAAAGTATTTTTACATGTTATAGGTTGTTTGCACTTCATGGATTTGTACTATTAACTAAATTACAGTTTCATAAAAAATACCAAATGAACTTAATTTCAAAAGTGTGATTCATGCATGAACTAACAAATATAGTCAAAGAGATAAGAAGCTGTTATCATTGTTGTTATAAACCTTGTAATAAACTTTTTCACAAACTGTTCAATTAATGTTCCAATATTTCATTATTAAATGGAAAATAAAAGAAAATAATTTGTAGAAAATGTCCCGATTTTGACAGATATAATACAAAATTGCATCTCTATTGTGATTGATTGTAAGAATGAGTGTTATTACATGTCCCATGGGAGTTACTCTATCATTATACCATTAAACTATTTGTTCATGTTAAAATATCTTTCAAATCCAGAGGGAAACATGTCTAAGATCTAGAATATGATAGGTGTTTTAATCTTATATCTAGAGAACAATTAATGTTCTATGCCCTAACAAATCTGACTGCAGATATCTGATACATTTGTCAATAGTTTCTATGAACAGGACAACGCTATCTATCAGATTATTAAAACTGCCGTAACAAATAAAAGGTTTATCATGTTCTTTCTACAATCCTACAGATTACAACGGAAAAGAAGGGAAACAAGTCTTCAGCAACTCACTGAGACTGAATAATGTTTCACCAAGATACCGTTACTTTTTGAACCCTGAGATATAGTTTTAAAACATTCTATCGCAGGCACATATTTTACTAGCAAACCCAAAACTCATTCAATAAAATGCTTCGCTGGGGCACAGCTTGATACGACCGCAGAGGTCGAACCCTGAACAGTTGGGGCAAGTATGGACACAACATTCAAGCTTGATACAGCTCTGAATTTGGATTGTTATTAAATATTTGACACAGCATAGGTTTCTGACACAGAAAGAATGTGGTCTAAGAACTTGAATTTTTTTTAATTTACCTATTATGGTCCAATGTCCAAAATCAAAATACATGGTTAGATTCAGCATATCAAAGAACCCCATATATTCAATTTTTGTTAAAATCAAATAAAGTTTAATTTTGGACCACAATTTGGACCAACTTGAAAACTAGGCCCATAATCAAAAATCTAAACACATGTTTAGATTCAGCATATCAAAGAACCCCAAGAATTCAATTTTTGTTAAAATCAAACTAAGTTTAATCTTGGACCCTTTGGACCTCAATGAAGACCAATTTGATAACGGGGTCCACAAATAAAAAATCTAAATACATGGTTAGATTCAGCATATCAAAGAACCCCATTTATTCAATTTTTGTTGAAATCAAACAAAGTTTAATTTTGGACCCCAATTTGGACCAACTTGAAATCTGGGCCAAAAATCAAAAATCTAAATACATGTTTAGATTCAGCATATCAAAGAACCTCATATATTCAATTTTTGCTAAAATCAAACAAAGTTTAATTTTGGACCCTTTGGACCTTAATGTAGACCAATTTGAAAACTGGATCCAAAATTAAAAATCTAAATACACTGTTAGATTCGGCATAACAAATAAATAAATGTGATCAAAGATTTTACAAATCTTATGCGCCATACTGTGCAATTATAGATTACTTCTTGAAATTTTTCAATATTTGAAATTTGAAAAAAAAATAATATTTGAAGAATAATTCTTTTTAATTTCTGAAATCTGAAATGAGAAAAAATTGACCCCCCACAATTTCTTTTTATCCCCCCCCCCTTTTTTTCCCCCAAAAATTCTTTCCCTCAAGATATGGTCATAATCTCAATTCAAATTTCCAATGGAGTTGGCAACCATAATTACCCATTTAAATTTACCATAGTGCTAACTTAATCTATTTTATAATAGAATTAAAAATATAGTGTCAAATCTTTCATATGGATTTTTTTGTAAAAAAAAAAGATGCAACATTTGCAGATATTTTTACTGGTCTTCCTTTATAAATATGCATTTCTTTAAACATAATTTAAAAGCAGTGTAAGGGAAGTAACCAAAACGTTGTATTTGGATTACCTCCCTTACACTGTTTTAAATTATCTTTATTGTTCATTAACCATTACTTTATACATAATTTAACAGCAGTGTAAGGGAGATAATTTCAATGATGTATTTGATTTATCTCCCTTACACTGCTTTAAATTATGTTTTGTACTAAAGTATTTGTCCATTAACCAGGACAACCTTGTTTTTCCCCCCTTTTTTGCCCCTAATTCCTAAACGGTTTGAGCCATAACCCCCCAAAGCAAATCCTAACCATCCCTTTGTGGTATGGAAACTTGTAGTATAATTTCAGAGAGATCCATACACCGTTCCACAGTTATTGTCTGGAAACTAGAAAATGCTTATTTTTGGCCCCTTTTTGGCCCCGAATTCCTTAACTGTTGGTACCATAACCCCCAAAATCAATCCCAACCTTCCTTTTGTGGTATTTAATCTTATGGTCAAATTTCAAAAAGATCCATTCACTTAAACTAAAGTTAGAGTGCGAAAACCAATGTGTTTTCGGACGACGACACCGGACGACGACGACGACGACGACGACGACGACGACGACGACGACGACGACAACGTCATACCAATATACGACCACAAAATTTTTTTGCGGCCGTATAAAAACCATATGTACAAACACTGGCAACAAAATCATTCTAATATTTTTAATACAACAATAGCAAGGTTTGTTGGTTATATGATCAAATGAGAAACAGCCACGCAGAAAAGATATCCGACTCGTTACAATCTTAATATCAATATAAGGCATTGTTTGGCAAAGTATATCTTAATTCAATTATATGGCTAATAGCTGATTATTAAAGGGAAGGTCTTATGATGTAATTTTGATAGCCTTTCAGTTTCCCTTAATTGCAAGAAGTCAGGAGGCCTACAGCAACAACTAAAACATACTAAACTGATATTGGACAGACTAATTTCAAGTGAACAATTGATAGGTTTATTATTGAAAGTTGAAATCTATAGGCTAAAAAGGTCATTCGTCATTTCTTTTCCTTTCCCATTAATTTACACAGAAAACATGTTCCACCATTCAATCAGTACCAGATGTTAATTCACTTAGTTGTCAAGCATATGGCCTATTGACATGGATATATATTGTTGATGAAAATTTAATGAAATGGAAACTTCAAATATTCAGTGATTACAATAGCTCAAAAGATGGGCTTAAATGAGATATCATTTTAATGAACAAACTAATATGGTAGGTTCACCAATTTTGGTGCTCAATTTACCTGTTCACTATGACCAGTAAGGATAAACCACTAACCTGAATAATCTGATCGTTAACCTGTATTCTCCCATCTACACCTGCTGCACTGCCTTCAGCCACACTCTTCACAAAAATTCCACACAGATCATCTGTAAAAAAAAGAACATCAATGAATATTTAATTTCAAAGGGAAATTAGCTCCTAAACTGACAGCAAGGTCAAACGGAATACTGTAAATTCAGAAATTAATGCATGCATTCATTATTGCAATTTTTGAAGAATAGATAATACTGCGAGATTAATTATTGCGATTTAAGGAAAATCCATAAATACATTTGTGTGAGGAATTCAGGATGTGAGTTCTTATTATTGCGATACTCACTCAGTCACATTATTCACATTAATTAAAACCTCGCAATAATTTCTAAATTTACAGTATGTTAAATTGAACATGTCAAATTGAACAAGTCGAATGGAGCATGACAAATGAAACATGTCAAATGGAACATGTCAAATGGAACATGTCAAATGGAACCTGTCAGATGAATGTTGTATGAATTCAAATATAAAGTATTTTCAGGCAACTAGTATTACATTCTAAATGATTTCAAGACTATATTGTCATTAGACTCCACATACTAAATACTGCTGATGAAAAAACCTACTCCTCAATACATAACCTATCCACTGGATTGTGAATATAAAGTCAAGGTCACGTAAGGTGACAATGACTTGGTGTCAAGGTCTCACAACCTTATGACCTCCATACAAATGTGTAAAAAGATCGGGAAATCTCAGATACAGGAATAAAATTTTCGGTATCAGAAAAGGTTTGTCAAGAGAATAGAAAAGCATACCCAAAGATGTCTGAAATTTCTTGAATTCTTGCCAGTGTTTAATTGGTTCCTTATTTCACCAACTGACATTCACAATGATCATAAAATCACATGGAATGATGCATGCATCCAATCTCTCCCAGAAGGTATGGTAACAACACGACAATTGCTGGTAACCAACAACAGGGCTTTTGTTCCACAAATGGCAAAACATGCAAAACTACATTTAAAAAAATTTAAAAATCTAAGTTTTACTAATATTTATAGCATCAATCTTTAAGAGAATTTTCTATCCAAGATATCCAATTTAGTTGAGATTGATCCAACAATCTTTGGTTATTGCTTCTTACTAAAGGTTAATTCTGAACAGCACTTTGATTGCAACTAATATTATGTATGTGTGATTTCATTGATTATCTCTCTTGATAAAAACTATCGTGACTTTCCTATAAATTAGAAAACAAGCATTTAATCATTCTATTTTTGTATAAAATCAATCAATCAAAATTGTACCAATTATTAAAACTGAGTTTGTTTATACTTATTTACAGAATATTCATCAAATTGAATATACATTCTTTACTATTTATAATCCCTTCCCAAAGGCATTCTATAATTCTATATAGACATTGATATTTCTGCCAAGAAATAAAATAGTTGATGGAATAAATCTGTTTGAATTTTATGTTATTTTACCATTTGTCTGATTTACAGTATTTGAGGCTAGAGATGGAAACATCTTTATAAACAAAGAGAGATTACATATACAGCTTCATATAAATATGAAGAAAATGTGAAGAATTGGTTTTTGGTGCCTTCTGGAATGTTATGTTGTTTAAGAAGCTGCAAAATTGCTCATAACATTATTTTACCTGGTCATTGCTGGGACGATTCAAGGGGTTGGGGAATGGGACGTAATGGTAAAATTGCCAAAAAAAATTGACAATCTTATGCCTAGAAATAATCTTTTTTTTGCCCTCAAGGCCCCTATCTGAATCAGACACTGCATTAGAATGATCAGAAGCTTGATTTTTAAACTTATCTGATGTTTTTTTTTTTAAATCTGCATTAGGTCTCAATATTCTTGCATAAACTAGCTTTCAAAATACAATCAAATGCTACCTTGCCTTTTACACTTGTCAAGTTCATATCAGAAAATTCATCAAGTATAAATTTAGCTCATGATAATAATAAAAGTCAATTACTGATCAAATAAAATTTATAATAAAATTCAAAATATATTGATTTCACATAAAAAATTTCCAAATGTAATGCAAATTACAAAAACTTGCTGTAAATAGTTTAATTTATTCATATATATATATATATGACTGCAAATATATAGTTTATATTAGTCATATACATATATCATGGCACATTTTGTGACTCAGTGCTTTGCTTACTAATAGGTAGTTTCACAAACTTATCCTTTGTATTTTTAAATAAAAGAACATTAATTATCTTCATATCTCTATATTGAATAGACACTTCTAAATACTAATTTTTGTCTTTGCTTATCAAAGAAATTGGCATAGCCCAAACCATACAAAGAGGACACCAAAGGAAGCAGTGGAGTACACTATATCTAGAAATTTTAAACACCGTTTAGGAATACAACAAAGATTTAACTGACCTATCTAAAGCAGAAAATGCTAACAAAACCCATTTTACAGTATAGCGTAATTTGAATATCAACACTAGTCTAGCTCGTGATAGAAGCAAGATATGCAAGGAGACAATATTCATATAGTGCATAAATATTGCATCAGTTTACTTGTATAGTAAAATGGCTGATTGCAAAATAAAATTGAATTTCCAATACAACAATGTTTGTAAGAAATCTATTGATTTGAAAATTTGAAATAATCCTTCAGTGTCTGTGTTTTTATGAGTTTAAGATAGATAGAACTATTAAAAGAGGCAGCAAACCTAACATAGGAACATTGAAGAAATAAACCATATAGACTGAATTATAATACATGTATGATGTCATTTCGTATGGTGCACTTGAAATATGCCCACAGGTCTGAATATAATCACAAATATTCAGTGTCGGCATTGTTTTCTGTCACCAAAGCTGTCTTATTTAAGCTCATCCTATAAACATGTGCTATATCATATTATACAACTTAATCCTATGATAATAACCATTTTGATGAAATGTACACATGTTCCTGGAATTAACTTCCTCCAATAAAAGTTCTAATAACCTAGTCAGTTTGCAAAGAGTTCCGCTCAAACCAGTGTTAGGGGTCTCTCAAACTTGCAGTGAGGTGAGAGTTTTTCCTCTGTGTTGAAGGCCTCATTGTGACTTATTTACTGATTTTATGTCATCAATGGATATCCCATATCCTTTCTTTTCTATTAATATATTATAAAATCTAGGGTGTAAGAAAACCAAAACTAAACTGAACTGATAAACAAACAAACAAACAAGATGAGACATGGTCATGTGCAAAAAAAATGAAATATAGTAAGATCATTTAATTTCAACAGAGGAATCTATTTCCTTTAAATATATCAATTGCAGATTATGCCACCTCAGCTTGTCAGTTTAATTTGACAACATTAATTCCTGCCAGGCAAGATAGTTATTCCAAATTCAAAATATTTTAAGGTATTTTTTTATTTTCAATGTTTCTGATTTGATCAACATTATCATCTATCTTTTAATATGAGGAGGCATAGGGAAAAAAATGTTTTTTTATTAAAATACAAATGTCAATTGGTCTTTTTATTCAAATTTTCAAATAGTCCATGAGAAAACCTGTCAGGTAATAATGTTACACATTCCTTTCAACCCTTAAATGTCTACTGTACAACAATAACATTTTTCTGCTGTTTTCTGCTGATTGGTCGGGTTGTTGTCTCTTCAACACATTCCCTGTTTCCATTCTCAATTTTACTTTTATATAAAGTATCCAGAAATAGCATAAGTCAGCAAAAATTTGAGTGAAACATCTTTATTACTGCTGAAGTACAATTACAGGTCATAACAGGTCATATCTACCAATCCAATCAACTAACATATCCTTACGGGATTCTTCACACCAGACTTTCTCAGAAGTAATATGAATTATTTCTCACTAAGTCCTATTGTTGATGTCTAATAGAGAGATAGGTCATTTGAGTAGATATATACGGTTACCTATATTAAAATATGCTACAAATAGTAGTTCTGCCTTCAATTTTGGACCAGAAGGTAATCACAAAACAACATCCATTCTCATGTTTTTAACAAAATTTCATTCTAAAGAATTTAAAGGTTAAACAATCACATAGTCTGGAGAACAGGTTGATTTTAAAAATATCACTGAAGTATTTTTCACTTTACCTATCAAATCTGATTTCCTATGATGGTTACTAAGTATTGCAGAATCAAAACTAAATACATATCTCTTTGAAACTGGTCAATTGAAATTTTTACAAGAACTATTAAAAAATTGTTACTGGTTGAAATCAAAATTACTCAAATGGAACAGCTTGAATCAGGGCTGAGGTTACTTTAATTTTGTTTAGTTTGCAAAGCTGTCTCACTGAAATATATCCCCTTGCCCCCAATCTCTTGTTTATTCATATTCACATAAGATTTGACTGACAGAACTTGCATGGAATGGACGAATCATTTAACATTTTGTCATGATGGTGCCTTTAAAGCATACTATACAGTGTGTGTTTGCTCATTGTTGAAGGTCATTCAGTGCCCTATAGTTCCTCGTCCTTTGGTCTCTTGTGGATAGTCGTCTCATTGGCAATCATACCACATCTCCTTATTTTCATATAGGTTGAGGATTTTTACCTCTACATAATTTAAGAAGACAGAAGTTAGATTTCTGAATTGCCAATTGGTACACTGGGTCTTATTTCACTTTCCCAGAAAATTATAAACTGAGTTGAAAAAAGTATCTAAATTATTTAAAAATTAAATTTCATTATCACCTGGTCAGCCAAGCAAGTTACAATACAAAGCAAATATTATATGTCAGCATGAAAAATTTAAATAAAATACAGGTATTATTCTGTATGACTAACACAGTCAGAAAATAGATAAAATGGATTAAAACAGAACTAAAGTACAAGTATTTAAACAAACAGAAATATTAATCTTAATGACACAAGAGACAAACTGAATTTACAAAACCTACGAACATGAACAAGTATCTGTAGACTATAATACCCTTGAAATGTTTGTTAACAATAAGTGGACCAATTAAGCGAAAATATTGCATGGTTTTACCAATATTACTCACAGACACTAGCGCCTGGTTGCATAAATAAAACAGGGCATGTTCTCAACAAGTAATTCTCTTTTTTTTTTATTTGTTCAATAATGCAATCATAAAACAGTTTCCTACAATTCTTTAACTTTTCCTGTATTGACTTTTCATCTAATTTTTAATTAAAAGATTTTTACAACTATTCTTGGTATACAATCAGATATGAAAAAATTGATTGAGCCTAGGCGCTTTCCAGTGAGGCTTGCACCAAATGAACTAAAACATTTTATATATTACAAAACGAATATTTTACAATGCTTTCAGAATTACTTGATTTAAAAAAAATAAATTGTAAGGTCATGACTGCATGTAACAGTATGATGTCATGTCAACACAAACAAAGAACAAAATTGATGTTTGTTTAAATCTGTGTTTATAAAAATGGTCCATCAAAGGGTTTTTGCAGATTTTCAGAAAAATATGTCTTAATTGTTTTTAACATGTTTCTTACACTTTTTTCTTACCAATGAATAGTTAGATATTTTTTGAAGCACAGTAGTTTTTAATCTAGACAGCATTATCTATATTCATCTTTTAGCTTATAATCCCATTTTGAAAAGTAAAATCACTTAATAAATTGTTTGCTTTAAGTCTGGTTTGTTTTCCTCAACAGTTTCATAAGGTTTCTGTTACTGCAAGGCTTCAGCAGTGACTTTCCAGTTCAAAGTGATGGAAATCACTCATGGAAAGATTGGAAGAGAAGTTTGAATAATTTCAAATTATATTCAAGTATGGTGAGGACCAAAAATAAACCTTAATATAGCACTATTGCAGACAATTGCATTTACCATAGGTCTTTAGAAGGAAAAGCACTTTTTCAGTAGATAAAATGAGCTAAATATGAATCAATGAGAGTGGGTCAACAATTTCGTTTAAATTGCAATTAGTATCATCACCAAATAATGTTCCCTGTTACATGTTTCACCTTTTACATTTTATATTTAGAAACAGGAGAAACTACCAAATAAAGATTCTTCTAATAAAGTTTATCAATTATCCTTGTAGGACATGGGGCCAACAGATAGACATGAAAATAAGATCTTTATTGTCTTCAAAAATTATTCTAAAAAGGTTTTTAGGGGACATTTTGTATGTTGAAACATAGGAATAATATTTTTCTCCTCTAAAAATTACTTATTGATTATGAAAACAATTATTATGATTATATGTTACTGAATATTAAAAGTTGTAGGTTGTATTTTAATTCAATTTATAATTTAATAATTTTCAGAAAAGGGCATTGAAAATGTACTTTTTCAACATAAACGAATTAAAAAAAATGCTCCGCTGGGGCACAGCTTGATACGACCGCAGAGGTCGAACCCTGAACAGCTGGGGCAAGTATGGACACAACATTCAAGCTTGATACAGCACTGAATTTGGATTGTAATTAAATATTTGACACAGCATAGGTTTCTGACACAGAATGAAAGTGGTCTAAGAACTTAAAAATTTTTAATTCACCTATTCAAACCATATCATTATTATTTGCTTTTATATATAAATCAGAAATAACCAATTCAAAATGGAAAATTTAAAGAAAAAAAAGGAAAAAAAATCCCCCCCCCTCAATTTTTTGAACCCCCTTATGATTCATCACCCCCAAACTCAATCCCAGCCTTCCCTTTGTGGTATGGTACCTTGCAGTACAATTTCAGAGAGATCCATACACTTGAACACAAGTTATTGTCTGGAAACTAGAAAAATGCTTGTTTTTTGGCCCCTTTTTGGCCCCAAATTCCTAAACGTTTAGGGCAATTACCCCCAAACTCAACCCCAGCTTACCCTTTGTGATATGGAACCTTGCAGTACAATTTCATAAAGATCAATACACTTACACACAAGTTATTGTCCTGAAACTAGAAAAATGCTTGTTTTTTTGCCCTTTTATGGCCCCTAATTCCTAAAATTTTGAGGGAATTACCCCCAAAATCAATCCCAGCATTCCCTTTGTGATATGGAATCTTGTGATACAATGTCAGAGAGATCCATACACTTACACACAAGTTATTGTCATGAAACTAGAAAAATGCTTGTTTTTTCCCCTTTTTGGCCCCTAATTCCTAAAATTTGGAGGTAATTACCCCAAAAATTAATCCCAGCATTCCCTTTGTGATATGGAACCTTGTGGTACAATGTCAGAGAGATCCATACACTTGAACACAAGTTATTGTATGGAAACTAGAAAAATGCTTATTTTTGGCCCCTTTTTCCTAAACTTTTTGGGCAATTACCCCCAAACTCAATTCCAGCTTTCCCTTTGTGATATGGAACCTTGTAGTACAATTTCATAAAGATCCATATACTTACATATAAGTTATTGTCATGAAACTAGAAAAATGCTTGTTTTTTGCCCCTTTTTTGCCCCTAATTCCTAAAATTTGGAGGCAATTACCCCCAAAATCAATCCCAGCATTCCCTTTGTGATATGGAATCTTGTGATACAATGTCAGAGAGATCCATACACTTACACACAAGTTATTGTCATGAAACTAGAAAAATGCTTGTTTTTTCCCCTTTTTGGCCCCTAATTCCTAAAATTTGGAGGTAATAACCCCAAAAATTAATCCCAGCATTCCCTTTGTGATATGGAACCTTGTGGTACAATGTCAGAGAGATCCATACGCTTACACACAAGTTATGTCTGGAAGTTACAAAAATACTTATTTTTGGCCCCTTTTTGGCCCCTAATTCCTTAACTGTTGATACCATAACCCCCAAAATCAATCCCCACCTTCCTTTTGTGGTATTAAACCTTATGGTAAAATTTCATTGAGATCCATTCACTTTAACTAAAGTTAGAGTGCGAAAACTAATGTGTCTTCGGACGACGACGACGCCAACGTCATACCAATATACGACCACAAAAAATTTTTTGCAGTTGTATAAAAACTATTGAAATGGGGATTCATTTTTCATAGCAAAAATACACTTCCTGCATTCCAATAACTTATATTGTTCAAAGAAATTTGATGGGGAATAAACTAAAAAAAAAATTGGTTTGCTCAGTTACAAATTTTGAAATTTTACTTACTGTTTCAAGCCAATCATTGATAAGTGTTATCTAAATTATTGATTCATTAGATGATTATTATATAAATTTATCGAGTAAAATATAGACCTTACTTGAATACCTTTTTTTAGTTTTATTTTTATATTTAATATTTTGTCTTTTCTTATGACAAAAAAAAAAAGAAACTAGTTAATTGTTAATCATTTTTCTTTCAGACATAATTTATAGAATCATTTTCTGTAGTGTAGATCAAAAGTAATAGGCAATGAATAATTCTATCATTTCTATATTTCAAACATCTAACATTTACATTTGTGTATACAATAATGAGGTCAAGTATATGTGTACTGAAATGTATAATGAAGGATTCCTCTGCAGATGTCAGTATAATGGTAATCTCCTAGTTATAGCAGTAAAATTGTTAAAGGGGCAAAATTAAAAAAAAATAATAAGGAAGGGACATGTAGCAAGTCTATGATCACGGCAGTTTTCAATCATGCTGGTAATGTATCATTACTCTTACCTAATTTAGATGACAAAACTAGCCTGTAAATTGACAAAACTAAAGACACACATACTTGAATGAACTGCTCCAAAGATATAACCCAAATTTTTCACAGTTCATATGTGCATGAGAATTACAGGGAACTATATTTCAGTGTGTATACATTCTGTAGATTTAGTAGCTAACCTGTGCTACTTCATGTTTGGGAGGCCAGTGCCTTAGGAAAGACTTGGAACAACAGTTCCAATCTTTTCAAAATAATACGTCCCGTAAACGGGCGTATAAAAAGTAAATCTCGTCAGTTTAACATTAGCATTGATAAGAGACACACAATCAATAGTTAGCTGAATAGTGATTTATTTTACAATTTAAATTTTTGTTGAAGTATTTATAAAGAAACAATAGAATTTGACCAATTTACAGCACTATTTTTCTTTTCATGAAAATCAAGTAAACAAACCACTTGCAAAAATTAGTTGGTTTATAGTAACCTATGAAAGGCTGTTTGTATGGTATTACCCCTTGGTCTAGGAAAGACAACATCTGATAACCTACCTGGATTGTCACTCTGACGGCCAACATAACCAGCTATTGTAATACCAAGACCATGTTGGTTGTCTTTCAATAACTCTACATCAAAATAATTGATCTCTGGGTATTCAGGTGACATATCATCGAAACCATGCTAAAAAGAAGACAAAAAAAACTATTACAGAATATACGGTACAAAAATAAATTGATATGGTATCAATGATTGCCAATGAGACAACTATCAATCAGAGTCCAGGTAACATGGATGTAAGCAAATATAGGTCCCTAAATGGTACTGCCTTCAACAATGAGCAAAACCCATCCCAAACAGTCTGCTGTAAAAGGTCATACATGACAAAATGTGAAACATATAAAACCAGAAAACTGATTTATACACGGAAAGCCATTGTTAAGTTTGTAAAACAATGCTTCCAAAATTAAAAAGAATATCACAAGACTTTTTTTTCTTCATCTGTGTCTATTTTTTTTTTTATTTTTGTCTCCAAATTAAGCAGCTGAAAATTTATTTCTATTTACAAGTTATCAATTCCAGTACCATCAAGCTTAGGGGATTAAATATCACTTGCGTTATTACTTTGAGGAAACAGTTCAAGTTGTATTGACATTTTGTTCTCAATAATCTCTAAAAAGTCTGTAAAAACATGGTTCAATCAGATTAATGTTTTCAGCATTCATAGTTTGATAGACCTTAAGCAATCTGACAATATAAGCACTGTTGGATTATGCTTAGTGAAAAGAGCATGGACAATATGATTTGCTTTGTCACTAAGATTTCATTGCTGATGGAACTCTGTAATCCTTAGAAATAATGGTTTAATTTCATACCTAGTATGCAAATAGTTTCATGCTCAATAAATGGATGTTTTATTTCCAGTGTATATTTTTTTTTCAATGCTAATTCATGTGTATGTAAACAAGAGTGCACACGCTGAAATGTCTCGCCTTCTTTACTAATCATTGATATTATGTTGATAGTCCTAAATATAAAGCTTTATTACAACTGTCACATAAACTTAACATTAACCAAGTAAACTAAACATTGACCAATGAACCATGAAAATGAGGTCAAGGTCAGATGAACCATGCTAGGCAGGCATGTACAGCTAACAATTCTTCCATACAACAAATAGAGTTGACCTATTGCTTATAGTTTAAGAAAAAACAGACCAAAACACAAAAACTTAACACTGAGCAATGAACCTTGAAAATGAGGTCAAGGTCAAATAAAACCTGCGTGACTGCCAAATAGATCATAAAATATTTCCATACACCAAATATAGTTGAACTATTGCATATAGTATAAGAAAAACAGACCAAAACACAAAAACTTAACTATAACCACTGAACCATGAAAATGAGGTCAAGGTCAGATGACACCTGCCAGTTGGACATGTACACCTTACAGTCCTTCCATACACCAAATATACTAGACCTATTGCTTATAGTATCTGAGATATGGACTTGACCACCAAAACTTAACCTTGTTCATTGATCCATGAAATGAGGTCGAGGTCAAGTGAAAACTGTCTGATGGGCATGAGGACCTTGCAAGGTACGCACATACCAAATATAGTTGAACTATTGCACATAGTATTAGAAAAAAAGACCAAAACTCAAAAACTTAACTTTGACCACTGAACCATGAAAATAAGGTCAAGGTCAGATGACACCTGCCCGCTAGACATGTACACCTTACAATCATTCCATACACCAAATATAGTAGACCTATGGCATACAGTATAAGAAAAACAGACCAAAACACAAAAACTTAACTATAACCACTGAACCATGAAAATGAGGTCAAGGTCAGATGACACCTGCCAGTTGGACATGTACACCTTACAGTCCTTCCATACACCGAATATACTAGACCTATTGCTTATAGTATCTGAGATATGGACTTGACCACCAAAACTTAACCTTGTTCACTGATCCATGAAATGAGGTCGAGGTCAAGTGAAAACTGTCTGACGGGCATGAGGACATTGCAAGGTACGCACATACCAAATATAGTTATCTTATTACTTATAATAAGAGAGAATCTAACATTACAAAAAATCTGAACTTTTTTTTCAAGTAGTCACTGAACCATGAAAATGAGGTCAAGGACATTGGACATGTGACTGACGGAAACTTCGTAACATGAGGCATCCATATACAAAGTATGAAGCAACCAGACCTTCCACCTTCTAAAATATAAAGCTTTTAAGAAGTTAGCTAACGCCGCCGCCGCCGCCGCCGCCGGATCGCTATCCCTATGTCGAGCTTTCTGCGACAAAAGTCGCAGGCTCGACAATAAAACTAGAGGTTCCTAAGAGCTTGGCATTTTGATGTTTATTTTCATTGTATATACTTTTACATGTAGCAATCGAAAAGGTTTTCAGGAATCACTTCTTATAGTCAAATATACATCTTTTCAAGCATTCTAGTGAAAGGATAGCAAATAAATGGTTTTTTTTTCTTTGATATAAACATATATGCATGTATACTAAAAACAAGTCTGAAGTTTATGTGACCATTAGACCAAAACTTTAACCTGATGTTGGATGGGCAGACAATGTAGACACAGACTGAAACACATAATTCTCCTGTTGAGAGAAAAATGTTTTCAATGATTTGACATTAAGTCATAGACAGTATATCCCACACCTTTGCAGTTACACAACAATATCACAGGTATTGCCTAGAATTGTGGACTCATTATTATGAATTGGATAGCAATTTTCCCGGATTTCGTGGGAATATAAAATTTTTTAAATGTTTAATGAAGAAAATACTTTCTACGAGCCTTTATGCAGACTTTGGGTAAACCATGATATCAAATGTCCACTAACATATAATTTCTTCTCAATCCACAATGAATGGGGAATGTGTCCATGGGACACAGATGATGCCCCCACTTGCATATAATGTTATGAAGGGACATAATTCAAGAAAGGTAAAAAAGAAGCTACCCAAATTTGTACTAGATCTGTGTTTTGTGGTAATAAGCATTGTGTATAAGTTTCCTAACATTTGGTTGAGGAAAACTAAAGTTAGAGAACGGAAACCATTTTCGAGATGGTCCTACGGACAAGGGTAACTCTTAATGCCCCCTCCAGTGACGACAGACGCATAAAAATAAGTTCTTAAACTTACTTAAAATACTTTCTACAAGCCTTTATGTAGACTTTAACAAAACCATGATATCAAATACCCACGAACATATAATTTTTTCTCAATCCACAAAAACTAGTAACAATGTACAAAAATAAATGAATTAACAGTACTGTTGAATATGATCTCAAAATTATTGTGTCTCACAAGCTTGTGTAATAAATATTCTAGGAGGTATACATCCCTAATGCAATACTCACACAATAACCCTTCTTTTATATGGCAAAATTTAAATTAGCAAGAACACCATATTTGCTTACTGCTGATATCTACATTATGCAGTACTTATGCAACCAAGAAAAATTGCATGCTTACTTCTGAAAACATTCTAAATAGATTATAACTTTTGATTAAATGCTACAGGGATTATAACTTTTTAGTACTTCAACTCAGATTATATCTTTTTATTGCCAAACTATAAAATGCAATAATGTACAACAAAATTTTGATAGATGCTTGAGCATATATACATACATGATGAACTTGTACAATTCCATCCATTCCCATCCCTTGGTTAAACTGCTGCTGCTGCTGATGGGAGTCAGCCATGTCAGGAATGGTCTCTGTTGTATCTAATAAAGTATTTATTTGATGTAAATGTTCATCTAACTGATGAGTTGGAACAATTGGAGCATGAGGAATCTGCATTGTAGGCGGCTCTAGAATTGGCCGAGCCACGATTAGACGAACTTGACTACCAGACTGCCGTAGAACCTGAGCAACTTGTTCTGAGCTCATACCACGAACATTAACATCTCCAATTTGTAAAAGGTGATCACCACTGTGTAAACGTCCATTCTGAAATAGTTCACAAAATGAATTTTAAAAAGCTTCATTATTCCATATGCATGTAATGATAAAATAAATTTGGAGACATCATTTAATTATTCAAATTTCTGTGTTCATATGTAATGGCTCATAAAATAGTCTGCCCTTGAGAAGATGTCTTCAATTACACTGTGTATGGGTTTTGTGAATCAATGCACCATTCATTTGAATAATCAGGTAGGGTGACCTAAAGTAGAAACCAAATGGTATGAAGGTATTGTCTTTCAACAGATGATAAAATAGACAACATATGTTCCTGAAGATGCCACTCTGCATAACGTAATAAACTTTCAACAAAGTGGTTACTTTGAGTGTGGTTGTCTTATGTGGTCTACCAGTTGTCTTACTATAATTACCCATATACAATCATTATATACATGAATCATTCAATGAACTTCTAGTATGGTAATTTATCTGTAAACCGTTTCACAGATGACAACGGATATGTTCCAATTGTTGTAATTACAATCCTGCCCTTTTTTCCCTGAATGTGACCTACCGAATTAGACTTATCACTGGTTATGTACTAACATGAGCAACACTACGGGTGCCACAAGTGGAGCAGGATCTGCTTTCCCTTCCGAAGCACCTGAGATCACCCCCCGTTTTTCTATGTTGTGTTTTGTGTACTATTGTATGTCTGTTTGTCTCTTTCTTTTTTAACCATGGCATTGTCTGTTTATTTTGGACTTATGAGTTTGAATGTCCCTTTGGTATCTTTCGCCTCTCTTTCACCATTGTATCTTTTATAAGTTGTTCATATTTAGTATACCACTAATTATTTTCAATAAGATAGCATATATGATTTATGTTGGCATGGACAAATTACATAGTAACCATTTAAGGATGATGCATACACAAGTGTCGATTCTTATTCATCGAATTCAATTTCTAATTTTTTTTTTTTTTTTTTTAAGAGTCATTGCATTGGTTTATGAGATATCGTTTGAAAAATCAAAGAAAAATCTATATTGCGTAATGCATGAAATTAATTCCTCATAAATAAAGATCTTTACAAATAGGAAATGTTGAATTGTTGTTTACCTTTCATTCCTGGATTGCTGATTTATTGAAAGTTAACAAATATATACTTCTATTGTATAGCAAGAACATATTTCATAGGGAACACAACCAGTAGTGCAAATAAAGCTTCATCAGCGACAAAAATGTGTTTTAAACAGTTTTTCAAGCTTTGCTATAGAATCTATAAAAGGGTTATTGCATGAATATTGATGAATAGTATCCCTCATAAAATATATATTGCACTCTTAAGCTCATGCAATATAAAAGTCACTGGACAATTTTTACCAATCTTCACGCAATAACCCTTTAATAATCACATACAATGATACATATGATTTTAACATCTGCATCTCTATGATTTTTTTAAATGAAGCCAGTTTTGCATTTGTCGCTTCACCTTATCTTCAGCATACTTAGAACACGACTAAGCAAACAATACTAACAACTTTACCTAATCAGAAATCTTCAATGAAATTTTGTCCTTCTCAATCCAAAATACTTACAATATCAGCTATACCACCAGGTAGAATGGTCTTTACAACTACTCCTGTACTACGACCTCCAATAATGCCAAATCCTAATCCAGTTCCGTCATTTATTAAGTCAATTACTTCAATTTGAGTCCATTCTGTATTCAGCTGAAAGTATAGAGTAAAACATTAATATTTTTTTTTTTTATCATTTATCATTTTAATGTGCAATGTTGTTTATTGTTTTAATGTTGCACTTCCATGTATTCTTCATATGATTTTTTACAAAGCAAAAGTTCAAATATTAGCAAAGAATACATTCATTGCAGGCCACTTTTTTCCTTGGTTATCAATAAATAGCTCAGAGAACAAACTTCAGACACGTTTATTTAAGGAACCAAACTTATTTTTATTGCTAATTTTTATCACTGACAGCTACATGTTTGTATTTCAAGTATATTTTTACCGGTTCTGCTTTAATAATTGGTTCAGATCTAACAGAGGAAGTTGATGATGCTTCTTGAGCATCTTGACGAGCTTTCAGATAGCATAAGGCTGTTAGTACAGCACCACACATAGAATTTTGGTATGTCCGTCCCAAAGATGATGCCATTTACTTGCCACACTAACCTTCATTATTGTGTATAAATATTTGTCAGCACGGAATCTGATTCAAATGTTTTACACAAAGTCCAATATAATAGTATTTGGCATTCTTCGGTAATCATTACTGTTTTATATGTGAAGAACCATGGTAACCAAATTCCTATATTATATAATTTGACTCTTAAATGCATCACTTTGGTATGATAGAGACCTGTGACATTTCTCCAGTTAAAGACTTAATAATTCGTTGTCATCAATATTCCAAGACTTGACGAAATAAAATCATTAAGGATTAAGCTATATCACATTCGATAATTTAAACAACTTTCTTGGCATCAAACCATTTCCATTTTATTTTCAATTTGAAACACTTAAGAATTTGCATTAAATCCACACTTTAGTTTATTCAATAATCCTACACTTTATTTCATTGAAGTTCTAATGTCACTGTAGCATCCCCTTTTATTTAATTGCTATATAATATTTCTAAGTTTTGAGGTAATTATTTGGCAGCTGTTTCAATAGAATGCTTTGAAGACGGAATTGATTAACTGTTTTTTTTTTTTCTGGCTAGACAAACCTATGTCCCATAAACAGTTTATCTGAACCAATCATTAACTTTGTTTGAGGAAGTACTTCTTCTCAAGGACAAATTAAGCTTACTTTATTACTGAATCTCGACTCACATTACTATAAAGCAACAGTTTACAAAATTAGAAACAAGAAGTAGAATTTATCAATGGTTATGTTGTAATATTTTTCATTTTATGATCAAGGTCAAGTTTACTAAGTTGACTCAATACTACTAGAGTTACAATGATTTTGCTTATTTTTTTTCTCATTTCCTTATTTTGGTCATATAGTTCTTCAACTGATTCGGTTCTTATAAATCCTTGGCTTTCATATAATTGGCTTTGGGCATTCCTGGTGAAGGTATATCCAGATAAGCACTTCGGACGCATGAAAGTTATAAAGTGTTGTTTTCATATTTTAGACCATTGGCATTATTGGTTAAATATGCAGATTTATCATGTTATAACCCAATCATATTTTTACCAATTATTCTTGCAACTAGTCAATTCAGTTCATACATATTTCAACAAAAGATATTCAAAAATTTGGTAGGTATATTAAAATCAATACTGCTCAGATAGACAACTTGATTAACCCGAGTTCAACCTTTGCTTCATTATCTGACATTTTTTTTAAAGAGCTCATGATAAAATCAAAATATTATAGAATTGTACATTTGCAAGGAAATTGGTTTAGACATCATGTATGCTTCATTCTGAAAAAAACATGGCTAAAAAGCTGCTAGCTGCAAATTGAAACTAAATTAATAGAAACTACCAAATTTTCAACAACAAATTCCAATTATAAAATGCTCCGCTGGGGCGCAGCTTGATACGACTGCAGAGGACGAACCCTGAACAGTTGGGGCAAGTATGGACACAACATTCAAGCTTGATACAGCACTGAATTTGGATTGTAATTAAATATTTGACACAGCAAAGGTTTCTGACACAGAATGAAAGTGGTCTAAGAACTTAAAATTTTTTAATTTACCTATTCAAACCATATCATTATTATTTGCTTTTATATATAAATCAGAAATAACCAATTTAAAATGGAAAATTTCAAAGAAAAAAAAGGAAAATAAAATCCCCCCCCAAAAAAATTTTTTGAACCCCCTTATGATTCATCACCCCCAAACTCAATCCCAGCTTTCCCTTTGTGGTATGGTACCTTGCAGTACAATTTCAGAGAGATCCATACACTTCAAAACAAGTTATTGTCTGGAAACTAGAAAAATGCTTGTTTTTTTGCCCCTTTTTGGCCCCAAATTCCTAAACATTTAGGGCAATTACCCCCAAACTCAAACCCAGCTTTCCCTTTGTGATATGGAACCTTGCAGTACAATTTCATAAAGACCCATACACTTACACACAAGTTATTGTCCTGAAACTAGAAAAATGCTTGTTTTTTTGCCCCTAATTACTAATATTTTGAGGGAATTACCCCCAAAATCAATCCCAGCATTCCCTTTGTGATATGGTACCTTGCAGTACAATTTCAGAGAGATCCTTACACTTGAACACAAGTTATTGTCTGGAAACTAGAAAAATGCTTATTTTTGGCCCCTTTTTGGCCCCTTATTCCTAAATGTTTTGGGCAATTACCCCCAAACTCAATTCCAGCTTTCACTTTGTGATATGGAACCTAGTAGTACAATTTCATAAAGATCCATACACTTACACACAAGTTATTGTCATGAAACTAGAAAAATGCTTGTTTTTTGCCCCTTTTTGGCCCCTTATTCCTAAAATTTGGAGGCAATTACCCCCAAAATCAATCCCAGCATTCCCTTTGTGATATGGAACCTTGTGATACAATGTCAGAGAGATCCATACACTTACACACAAGTTATTGTCATGAAACTAGAAAAATGCTTGTTTTTTGCCCCTTTTTGGCCCTTAATTCCTAAAATTTTGAGGCAATTACCCCCAAAATCAATCCCAGCATTCCCTTTGTGATATGGAACCTTGTGATACAATGTCAGAGAGATCCATACACTTACACACAAGTTATTGTCATGAAACTAGAAAAATGCTTGTTTTTGGCCCCTTTTTGGCCCCTAATTCCTAAAATTTGGAGGCAATTACCCCCAAAATCAATCCCAGCATTCCCTTTGAGATATGGAACCTTGTGGTACAATGTCAGAGAGATCCATACACTTACACACAAGTTATGTCTGGAAGTTACAAAAATGCTTATTTTTGGCCCCTAATTCCTTAACTGTTGGTACCATAACCCCCAAAATCAATCCCCACCTTCCTTTTGTGGTATTGAACCTTATGGTAAAATTTCATTGAGATCCATTCGCTTAAACTAAAGTTAGAGTGTAAAAACTAATGTGTCTTCGGACGACGACGACGTCATACCAATATACGACCACAAAAATTTTTTTGCGTTCGTATAAAAATGACAAAAAAACTATAAAACTAGTGCATAAGCACCCACAACAACTGATGAGGTTGATAACTTGGAAATGTATATTGACATAACTATGGAACAACATTAGAATGTGTACCATAAACCCTGCATAATATAATAGTTCTAACTTGCAAACTTTAGGTCAAGACAGGTGGGAAAAAAAGGTAAAAAATAATTTTAGTACCATTATTAAATTTTTCGAATTGGAAATTTACCAACTTATGTTTCATCGAAATCATTCCAGTACTGAAGAGTTAGCTACAAGGGCATGTTTGAATGGTTTTGTAAGAATTTGACAAAAGAAAACACACTTATGTTAATAGAAAGAAAATTAAATGATAGAATTTTTAAATGAAATGTGCAATAAAAAATTAAAAAAATTAAATTGTGGTCACCATACTTGTTTTCTTGCTACTTGACAAAATATATTAATTTACTGTAAATTCCTTTATAAAATTAAATTATCTGAGTTATCTCCCCTGAAATAACTTAGTTTTCCATTTTTTATCCCTGTTTTTGTATATAAAAATAGTTCGCATAAATTAACAATAGGACAAAATCAAAAAATTTTATTCATTCAAATGAAAAGTCTAACAAATAAATTCCATTTCTGCATCAAATTTGCTAATTTCAGTAAAATCTAGACTGACAATTTGCAGCCATTTGCAAAAAAAGATTAATTTAGTACGTGATTAGTTCTATTGTGCCTTCAACGTTTTAGACATTTGGTTCAATGCATTTCAATATCCTTTTAAAAACATTGATGTAAGAAGATTAAAAAGATTTTTTGAAATAAGAAGACTGTAAAGCAATTGATCTGAATATGCAAAGGACTGTAAAGCTCATATATATATATATATATATATATACAGATTATGCAATTTGAAAAAAAACATGATGGAAAAGGATGGCAGAAACATGAAAACAAACAAAAATCTTATGTTTTCTCTGCTTGACTTCAGGAGCCTGTAGTACAGTGGTTGTCCTTAAATTGTGTCTCTCATATTTGTTTTTCTTAAATTGTTTTGTTATCAATAAGGCAGTTTATTTTCTTGTTTGAATTGTTTAACATTGTTCATGCTGGTGTCTTTTAAAGCCGACTATACATATGGGTTTTTCTCATTGTTGATGGCCGTAAGGTGGCCTATAATTGCTACTACCACTTCATTTAAACTCTGGCAATCTTACCACATCTCCTCATTTTTATAATAAGGAGCATAAAGCATCAATAAAAACTAAATCTTTTTCTCCCATGAAAGCTCCAGATACTCTACAATTAACTGTAAACTACTTTGATTGAAAAGCATATAATTTAATCTATATAATGGTACCTCTGGTTGTTATCTATAGACAATTATTGATTCAGAAAAATTGGAAGTGATCATTAATTATTCTGTGCTATTAATTTGATGGTACAGGTTTAGGATATATCTACTTCATCATTATACAGAAATAATCAAACAGACATTGTATTTATCCTATGTTGTTGTATGTAATCCTACTGTTATAATCATTACAAGGTAGATATAATTAATTATTTACATAGGTAACTCATGTTATAATGCAGAAATGGTAGAAGCTATGGAGAGCTAATTCCCTTGTCTTTTTCAGTTATATCAGAAATGCTTTGATTGCTAACTTACAAACTAAGTGGAAATATGATACATGAAATATAGGTTGTGATGACCAAATTATTTGGCAGACATTAATAAGCCTCTAGCTTCAATACTATCCAGATTATTGATTTATAAGGAATAATTACTGATATCCTTGAGACATTTTTTATCTGTCCTTCGTGGATGGATAAAATGTAGGTCAAGGTGATCTATTTTAAAATGAAGTGTGTTCATTAACACCAAGCCATTCAATATGATTGTAATTATTTATATCTAGACCTCAACTCCTGACTACAGAAAACACAGAGCTTAACAAGCATTAACAAATAGAAGAGGAAATAAAGAAACTAAATATCCACTGCCAATCTACTTTAGACATACAGATTAACCACAAAAGATATTGCTAATACCAGGTTTTTTTTGTATAGAACAATGCAAACTGAAAATATATCAAGATCCAGCTGAGACAATTTCTTTATTGTACCAAATATCCAGAAAAAAATTAAAATAAAATAAATGACCTCTGCAATACAAACTGTGGATCTTTTCACAAAAGTGTTTTGACTAAAAATGATGGTATATTAGACTGAAATGTTCATGACTTACAAGTAGTTTTTTCTTCATATTTTTTGTGAAATGAGTCACTGGTCTTTTATTAGTAGAATTATATGAATAAAAGGAGATGTTGACTACTAAGACCTCAATGAGCCAGCTCCCCAACATTAACATATAGGTGTGCCTGTAACAAATGTCAAGCTCTCTTAATCACTTAGTTTTTAAAAAAGGTATGATTAAATTTAAAAGGCACTGCAAACAAATAACCAAAAAAATACCAAGATATAACAAAAGTCAACCACTGACAAGGTTTCTGACATGGGACAGACACATGAACATTTGGTGGGGTTATACTTGGTTTTTTTTTAGATCTCCACCCCCCCCTTTTTAATCTCAATCAGAGAAATAAAATAGAGACACATGTACCTGTACAATAGAAATCAGTACAGGAAATACATTTAACCTTACAATACCATTATACCTATTAACATGTTAAAGGCTGATCAATAATGATGCACTGTGTATATGTTATTTAATTCAAATGGGCCTACTTGTCCTTAATAATAAAACAAGTACAAAAATACATAAAAGTCATCTACTTAAATGTGTAAAGTCAGTGCATTTAATGAGTCCATTTAACTTTATCTGTAAAGTGCTGTCTTGTACAATATTCAAGAAGGAAAGAAAACAATTATTTTCTTTTAATGACATTTTCAAAATGGCATCATTAGTCTGTTTACAACTGATAAAATAGGCAAATTGCACTTAAAGACATTACTCCCACAAGATTTGACTATGACTGACCTACTGTTGACGTCTTTTGTGGTCAACTTTCAACTGTGCTATTGAATAATTCTACCTATGATGTGAAATCATTCTGATTCAGAGAATCTTTAAATCAGTGCAAAAGGTAAAAGAAAAAGTGGCTACTACCTGAATAGAATCTGAATTATAACTATGTTTGCACATACCTTGGAAAATGCAAAAAAGAATTCTTCATTGACCTTTAACGTCAACTCAAATCAATTAAACTAAAAATATAGGTTACTTACACCCATACAGGCATATTGCATATATTGGGTTGAATATTAACTTACAACCATATCGGCTGAACCCTCCGACTGTACATTGGACAACTGTTGTTTGTGGGGACTAGATGGTGGATCCCCTTGCTGGTTTGGATATTGCCCTCTGGCTACCACTAACTGCACAAGTCCCTGTGCGCTCTGAAGAATACGGATAGCCTCGTGGTGTGACAAGTCTAGTGGCTGTCCATCTATAGCTAGGATCTGATCTTGTTCTCTAAGTCGTCCATCTCTATAAAAAAAACGATCAAAATATATAAAAAATTTTAAATAAGAGAAGAATGTGTCTGAGGATACGAATGCCCCGCTCAAGCTTTGCAACAAAAAGGGAAAGATGGAAAGATGGAATGATGGATAGACCGAAAGACAGAAAGACGGAAGGAAGGACAGTCAAGGGTAACACTTAATGCCCCTGTCGTCTACAGCGGGGGCATAAAGAAATGTATTGCTATAAAACATAAAACTAACCATACAGCATTATCAAACTGGCATTATATTCTAAAATGATATTTTAAAATTTTGCTTGAAACAATTTCTATGGCATAAAAAGACCATTTCACAATAAATATGTACACAACACACCTACCTGAGAGAGGGAGTAACTCTTGAAAATTCAAGGAGAAGGCAAATACTTTTCAGATTAATAATAGGAATTAACAAACTACTCATGTAATGTGAGAAATTAAGTGATCCATTGTTGGTGTTTAACACAACTATCAGCACACTTGGCTTTATCAGTCAGACAGTTAGTATTGGTGGAGTAAGTTAGAGTACTTTGAGAGAACTACAACCTTTCACAGGCATTCCTAGTCAAAAGAAATCTGAATCGAATGTGAAAGAAGATTGAAACAAAAAAGTGCTTCTGCTGAGGAATCCAATGATTGAAATTGAAACAGTGTTTTTATGGACTTGTTAAACCTATAGGATAATAAAATCATATACATTTTCTGTTAAAAATGATGGAAAGATATCCATGGAGTCTAAACTTTAACATTAAATTCTTTGCCACTTCCATGACTATTCCAAGCTCAGCCTATATGTTGACATTTTGTTTTTATGTCAAGAAATCAAATCGTTTTTGTTAACTAGCATTATAGTGAATATATACTTTGCCATTGTTTGAGTAAACCTATTATGAGATGAAGTAGCCCTAACAGAGTAGACTCATTTATAGTTAACAGCGCTTCCTTGTTGGTTTAATTGAAACATGCATCAATTTTCATTTAGACATTTTCAAACAGACAGCAAAGACCTCACTAAGCTGTGTAAAAAACAACCTGTCACATATAATATTCAAATCGTCTTAAAACTGGATGACATATTCCAGCAGACCATTAAGTTACATCTTAATAAATAGATTAGTGTCAGTTGAAGGTGTACTCAATTAAAATCATTATCATTTTCTACATGTTATAATTTTTTATTTCATTTTTCTGGCAATTTATTCAATTGAAATAATCAATTCAATGACAAGTAATAAGGTGGCTCCCAAATGGTCAAATCCAACCTGTGACCTTTTGGGGTTTGAAGAGCAACTTTGCAATCTGACATCTCATTTAAAAGGACCTGAATCCAAACTTTAACAATTTTCAAAACACAGGATCAGATCAGTGAAGAACTGCATAGGTTTAAGTTGGCTTAAAAGTGACATGGTGACCTGAGGCAATTTTAAAATGGACCCTGTGACCTAAGGTTGGTCCTCTACTGGGGCCCCAATAAGAATACAAATACATCAATACAGCTTTAAATTGTTCTGTTTGGTAATACATTTAAGTACTATTTACACAGACAGAAAAGATGCTAATAGATGCATACCAAATTACAAGCTATTAAATATGTCTTTTCTGAAAGTAATCCGATCTGATAATTAAGCCAATGTGTTTGCATCAAGGGCCTGTTATTTGAATAAGCTATGCCATTATGGTCTTAATTAAAACATTTTATGTGGAGAAAATTTCATTAAAATCTCAAATGAACAACAATTTATTTAAAAGAATAGCTTTTTCACAGTTTGATTAAAACACAGTGTCTTGTTCAAATACCATGTACAAGTGCCAATATGTGATTTTTAGTCGCAGTTGATCAGTCAATTAACAGGATGAAGTATTAAATCGTGGATTTCCCATAAATACCATTAAATAATTTGATTTGAATCTTATGTAAGTCAGTGAAAAAACATCAGAAATTTGATTACAATACAAAACACATCAATAAATTATGAACCTGGAACAAAATGTGAAAGAAGAATATTGATTTCCTCAAAACATACAACGTCAATTATTGACAAGGTATATACATAGATTATACAGAATGAAGCAATTGAAATGTAATGTTCGTTAGGATTTTAAAAAATGCATTGAAACATATGCTCTAGAGAACGTTAAACAAAAGACACCACAACGGTTTTTTTTTTTCAGTGATGAAATATTCAATGGTGAGTCAGCAACAACTAAGCAGAAAATTTTCGACAAATGGCTCTCCTTAGAAGTATCTTTTCATTGATACTTAATAATTCAGTAAAATAGAATTGCTTTCTGAGTTCTAAATAATGAAAAATTGAAAAACCTGAAATCAGAAGGTCCGAGTACACAGTTATTTCGTAGTGCATTTCTTTTAGACAATAAATGAAAATTAAAAAAATCCCACCTGCGCTTTCTCAATAATATTTTTACAGTGTGTTGTACTAATTTTGGGACAAATTATATCAAAATTATAGAAAACTTCATCGGCTCTAACTCAAAATATGCACAATTTTATGTTAAAGGGGTCTTCAAATCTTTTGACAGCTTCCGAAGTGCTAATTTTTAACATTTTTCAGCTGGACCAAATCACTACTTTACTTTAAAATTCATGACCCAGATTTTTTTACAGTGTCATTTCACCCCCCTACTTGCTATTTGAGTCATAAAACATGGAGAAATAAATTTGGAAGGGGTATAAAAAAAATGGCAAGTAACACACTGTCCACACTAGGGACTACATTTGTGGACAACGAAAATCAAAGGACGATAACTGTGTACTCGGACCAGAATTATTTCTTTTTTACCAACTATAATTGACCTACCATATGTGCGTTCCCTAAAACCATAGATGTATAAAACTATACATCTATGCTAAAACTGATCTAATCACAAACCCTTAAACTTGTAACCTATACAAAGTTTCTATTCAATGGACAGTGACTGAGGGTTCAGGGCCACATAATCTCCATGGAAATTTTAAGGATATGCCAATGCTAATGCAACATCATACAAAATATCACTGCCTTAGCATTAGTGCTTCCCCTTAACAAACTTGAACAACCTATCAATGACAATGTTGTTGATGCAGGCAACTTTTCCTATGCCGGAAACAACATGCCTAAGTTTAGTTATGAGAGACAAAAATTGTGGAAAACTGATACTTTCAAGCTGTTTAATATATCCATGGACTGAATTTTTTTTTCAAAATTCCTCATTTGACACAGAACTCAAACTCCTTCGGTAGCTATCAACCAACTATTCAATATATTGATTCAGGCATTACAAATAATAAACTGTTATCACAGAGATATGTCTCGCCTTTTTGTAATTTTGATAATGCAAATGTTGAAATTAAAATTGCAATACTTTAACATGTAAGTTATACAAATATTCAAAGTCGATGAACCATGACTGAAGGTACATGGCTAAACAATCTCCATGGAATGAGATGTGCCAATGCTAATACAACTGCATACCAAATACCATTGACTTATTATAAGTCGTTCCCTTTAAACAAACCTAAACACAAACATTAACTTGTAAACTATGTAAAAGTTTCAAAGTCAATGAACCATGATCAGGGGTGGGGCTATATAATCTCCATGGAATTTATACTTGCAAATGCCAATAAATTTGCATACCAAATATCATTGACTTAACATTAGCAGTTCATCTTAAACTGATCTAATCACAAACTAATACATGTAAAGTAAGCAAAAGTTTCAAAGTAAATAGACCATGACTGAGGGGGCAGGGCCAAATATTCTCCATGGAAATGAGATGTGCTAATGCTTATACAACTGAACACCAATTAACATTGACCTACCACTAATGGTTCCCCTTGAACTGACCTAATCACAAACTAATACATGTTAACTTAGCAAATTTTTCAAAGTCTATAGACCATGACTAATTGGGCGGAGCCAAATAATCTCCATGGAAATGAGATATGCCAATGCTTATACAACTGCATACCAAATATCATTGACCTAACACTAGTGGTTCCCCATAAATTGACCTAATCACAAACTAATACATGTAAACTATGAAAAGTTTCAAAGTCAATAGACCTTGACTGAGGGGGCAGGACCAAATAATCTCCATGGTAATGAGATGTGCCAATGCTAATTCAACTGCATACCAAATATCATTGACCTACCACTAGTGGTTCACCATGAACTAGACCTAATCACAAACTAATACATTGTTGACGCCGCCGACGCCAACGCCGGAAACAGCATACCTATTTCTCGCTTTTTTACTCCGTCAAGGCGAGACAAAAAATGATGAAAAAATTATATTTTCAAGTAATTTTCTGTGATCTAGGTCCACAACTTCCGCAAAAATAAATCAAATGGAAGGAAACTCAACTCAATCTGTAACTTCTTAAAATATGACTATAAACATAACTTCTAATCAATTGTATTGTTAGAACCATTGCTCTCTATTAGCTTCCCAAGTAGGGCACTAATATGCAATAGTCAATACCTTTTTAATGAGCACTAAATAACAAAAAACTTAAATAAATAAAAGGCAAAGGATAAATGTTTATATCATTCTGACACTCATATAACAAATTGGTCATTTTTTTATAAAAAAAATATAAAATCTCATACATTTGCCAGCTTTGATTTTCTGAATTATACCAAAGTTATCATATTTCATGGTAAAATGTCAGCACATGTATTACTTCCATTGACAATACTGCGGGTTTAATTATCTTATTGTGAACCATTTTTATGGATTCCATAAGTAATGTGTATTTCCAATGCAGCTGTCCATTTGAGATAAAGTATTGGAAAAAATATCCAATTTAAGAAACACCCTATGTCAAAAATTTCAAGCCTCTAAACCCTCATATGATATCAGTAAATACAAATGGAAAAACACCCAGGACAAAGAAAGAGGCAAAAGATACCAAATGGACGTTCAAACCAATAAGTAAAAAATAAACTGACAATGCCATGGCAAAAAAGAAAAAGACCAACAG